TACTAATTAGGTAAGTATAATTCCATATTATACCTATAAAGACTTCATTCCTATTTAGCTTAGCTAATATAAATAAGCTAGAAGTTTATTTTAATAATTTTACTAATTATTTCATTATTTCTAATAAATGCTTTATACCTGTAATATAATGTTTTAGATACTTTTTCCTACTTTAGAATATTACTTTATAAAGCTTTATTTCCGAATTCTTTATTTATAACTCCTGCTTTCTTATAAAGATTAAATTATAATATCTATACTACTATTTTAGTTATTTATCTATTAGTAAGCTTCGAAATATACTAGAATAAGCAGGCTATAATATTAATATAGAAGCCCTTAAATACCTTATAAAGTACTATAAATAATACCAGAAATTCGGATAATTACCGGAATAATTTAAGTTTAACCTGAGAAATAATATTAGCTTTAATTACTCTATTATTATTAATATTTTCTATATTTCTAGTAAGCCTATACTCTATATTATTAATAAAAGTACTAGATATTAAGCCAGCTAATAGCTTTAAAATATTAATATATTATATACTTAGAATACCCTAAAATAGTATTAAATTAATACCTATTTAGGCCCTCCCGATTAGATTATAGCAGATACCAGAAAGCAGTTTACTAGTAAGAAGTTCACTTAGCTTATAAATACTATAGGAACTAAAATCAAAATCATTTCTATAGAAGCTTATAGTTCTATCGGAATTATAAAATACTACTATAGCCTAATTTAATATATTTACCTTATTATTATAGCCGAAATTAATAGAATTAATAAGGATACTATATTTTAAATAGCTTTTAAGGCTATTAATAATTTTACTAGACCTAATAGTATTATTCTAATTCTTTTAATTTATAGTACTTTACCCCGAATAACTAAATATAATACCCTATTACTAACTATATTATAGTAATTAGTAGTATTCAAAAAAGTAATAATAGAAATTCAGAAGCTTTAAGCTAGATACCAGATTATAAATACCCTAAATACCCGAAATAGTTCTAGTATTACTAATATCTATAAACTTCTCTTGAATTCGGATATTCTTATATAGTATAAAGGAAGTACCGGTTAATCTAGTAGTTAGGATAAGCCATATAAGCTAGTAGCTATTAATAGGGAAAACTATATACTAGCTCTATTATATAGTAATACTACCTTTTATTTAACCTCTATAAAGCTCTTTTATATAGGAGATATTAAGGTTATTACTAATAGCCCCAAACCTAAACCTATTTCCGAACTCTATAATAAGGCTAAAGATAATACAAGTATAATTCCTTCTATTATTCCCGCTATTTTACTAAAGTATAGCAGAGGACGCCCTTATAAGAACCCGGATTTTATAATATTCTTATAGAATAATAACTTATATAAGGACTCCCGTTAAATTAAAGTCGCTAGCCTTTTAGAAAAAGGTATATTTGAGGTTATTTCCAGATCTCAAGTACTAAAGGAAATATATATTTTTAACTCCCGATTTATTAATAAAATCAAGAATAAAAATATAGAAAGAGAGTTTAAGAAGTCAAGACTAGTTATCCAGGCTTATAATAATAGTAAGAAACATATAGTATTAATATAATTACCTATTATTTAATATATTAGCTAAAGAATTATTCTTAGTATTACTACTATAATAATAGATACTATAAAGCTATATTTATATAATATCTCGCAAGCTTATATCTAATTAATAACCTTACTTAATTATAATTTTTATATTAACCTATTTCGCAAGCTTACTAAAAAGCTAAATCTAAATAATAATTCGGTTCTAAAGGTTATAAAACTACTATATAGTATACCGGAAGCTAGGAACTACTAGTTTAAGACTTACTATTCCTACTATATTAACGAGCTTTCTATAGAATAGTTAACTTATAATTCTTGCCTTTTCTATAATAAGTAATTCTTCGAAATTATTAGCCTTTAAACTAATAATACTCTATTTATCGGAACTAATAATTTTATAAAAACAGAATAACTAAAGCTCTAAGAAGCTAAGTTCTTAGCTAAAAAGTATAAATGCCTTATTATTAATTATAATTTCAAGTTTAATAGAGGTATTATTTATATAAATACTACTAGAATTACTTTTATATAGAAATACTAGTATAAAAACCTCTAAACTATTTCTATAAAGAATATTACTACTATAAATAATAGAGGTACTATTTATTAAGATCTCTCTATTAAGAACTAATATATTACCTAATATACTAGAGAAGTATATATTATATTAGTCTATTAACCAGAAGCTTTATATAATCTATTAATTATTACTTAAGCTATTAAACCCTCGGAAACTAATATAAAGATACTTAATAAGTATATTTAATAGTAAATTAAGAATACTGCCAGAGGACTAAGATTCGTAAAGCTAGTAAAGGAGTTCTTATATTTAATTATTTTTATAAATACTTTATTTGCAAATAATAGAAATCTCTTTTCCCAAATTAAATATATTCTAGTTCTAGTAAATAGAACTAGATATACTAATATTATTTACTAGTTCTCTATTAAATATAAGAAAGTTACTAGAAGTATTCTAGCTTCGGAACTCTATAGTATAGCTTATGGCTTTAATATAGGTACTTTAGTCAAATCTATAATTAATAAAATACTAGAAATAGAATTACTACTAGTAGTCTATACGAATTCGAAGTTATTATATAAATGCCTCGTTAAATTAGGAACTACTCGAGAAAAGTATCTAATAATTAATATAATATACCTCTACTAGGTATATAAATAATAAGAGATTATAGAAATCAAATAAATTAAGGGAGAATTAAATCCTGCCGATTTCATAACGAAATCAAAGCTAATAAATGCCCTCAAGTATCTAATTAATATAAATACTATATAATTAGATATAAAAAAATAGATTAAGTATAAATAGGGCAAGAAATAGATATATGAGATAGAAGGATATTATAAAAGGAAAAGTTATATATAAAAGGCCGCAGTCTTTAGTATATAACTAAAACCTCGGAAGTAATATAGATATATAGAGTATTTGGGAAATCTAGTACTAGGCCGGATTAGAGAATTTGTATATAATCGGAAAGAGATATTATTTTTTGTATTTTTAGAGAATTTCTAGTATTAGTATAGCTATTTTTTTAGGAGTTATATATATAATTACGGGATATAGGATACGGGATATAGGTAATAGGATATAAGTAATAAGATATAAAATACGGGATATAGTTATATAACCTCGTATCCTATTAGTAATTTGACTAGTAAACTAGACCTCTTTAGGCTTAGCAGATTTAGGGATTATATATTAATACTATAATACTATAATTCCTACTTCTAAATAATAATAACTTTACTAACTAATATAACTAGTATTTCCATACCTATATAATAGTACTATATATTACTAGTAAACTAATAATTATATTATTAGATATTAAAAATATATATCTCTTCTAGATAATTCTTTATAGGATTTATAACTTCTTATTTACCTTTATTTCTAGTATTAAATAATCTATTTTCTTATTTTTTTCTAATATCTTTACCTTTTTTTTTTTATAAAGAACTATTAGCTTTTTATAAAGCTTAGTAAAATAATATATTCTTTAAAAAAGAATAAGTAAATAGTAATAATAAATAGTAATAATAAATAGTAATAGAATAATAGGCTATTTATATATTAGTTATAGTCTATAGTAATTTATAGCAGATATATATATATATAAATAAATTACTAGAAATAATCCGGTTAATTATATAATTACTAGTAATAATCCGGAGAAATAAGAGAGAATTAGTAGGGGTAGGGGCAGAAGTAATAAGAGCTAGAGTAAAAATAAGAAAGAAAGAAGTACCTATAATAGTATCTATAAGTATTTATTAGGTTAGTTACGGTTTATAAAAGATTAGTAAATAGGTATAAAAAGCACTTATAGAGAGAATAATAGATACTTTTATTACTATAATAGTAGTTAGTATAGCTTTTACTAAAGAAACTAGCTATAACTATATATATTATCTATATATCCGATCCGCTAGTATAATATATATACCCGGCGGTATAAACTTGACTAATGAATTAGCTAATTTCAGCCTCTAGGTTGGCAGGCCGGGCGGGGTTAGTAGTATGGCCGGGCCGCAAAACAGGTATATGGCGGGCAGCGAGAAGGAAGAGGGCTACTATGGTGCGGGCAGGGCAGGCAGGGCAGGCAGGGCAGGCAGGGCAGGCAGGGCAGGCGCTAGTGCTACTACTGGTGCTACTAGTGCTGGTGCTGCTGGTGCTGCTGGTGCTGCTGCTGCTAGTGCTACTGTTAGTGCTGGTGCTGGTGGTAGTGGTGGTGGTGGTACTGCTGCTATAGCGGGAGCAGATGGGAGAGAAGACATTCTACGGACCGTAAGGAGCGTTACAGGCCAGGGGCAGGCCCGTAGTGGGTATAGGGGTTAACTTACGTATGCGTATATATATGTGTATTTATTAAAGGAAAGAAGCTTTGGAATTCGAAATTAAAACCTACCTTATTTAGCTTACCTGGAAAATTTTTAGCCTTCAAAAAGTGAATTTTCAAAGTGAATTTAAAGTCAGTAAAGCTGATATCCCTTAAATAAGTGCCTGAGGCATCTAATTGATCTCGTGTACCTTTAGGCACGAAAAGAGGCGCGAGTTGGTCGGGACCTCAGCCAAGGCGCAAGATAGTGTCTCTAAATGCGATCCTTCTGACAATGGTGGCTGGTAAGTGAAGCCGTAATGTCTCGCTGACGATTGATTTGGGCACCTTGAGGTTTCTGATCAGCTCGAAAGTTAGGGGTTGGTCACCAATACTTTACACTTCTGCGCAGAGTGATTCCCAGGATTTCGGATGCCGTGCAAACTCGAACATGATGTTGTTTATGGCGATTGCTGAGGCATCGCGTGCTGGGAAGAAGATGCTGACGATCTGGCTTCTCAACGCCAATGGGCCTTGTGTTTCTTGGCCATTTGATGTAGGAGAATGTACTACTCCTTCTTTTCGGCATCATAACGCTGCTTGTGGGTCTGATCAGGCCTACTTTGGTCCTGAAGAGCTCTCTGGACATGCTTATCGATAAATTCGTGGACGTTTGTGTATGCCCTGTCCCAGGATTTGTCGAAGTAAAGGAGAGGTTTGAAAGGTCCTGCCCTCCTGGGACAACCCGAAAACCCCAGATTAACATTGCTTGAAAAGGATAAAAATTAGAGCGAGAGTATGTGGTGTGTGAGAGGCCTAGCCTCATACAAGAGTGTATGATGTGTTCTAAGGAGTGTAAGACTTACAATCGACGTGTCACTCCCATTAAGGAAGTGTCAAATGCTTCCATAAACTCAGTAGCATCAAATGGAGTAACTGGAAGTAGCGATTCGACTAACTGGCCAAAGATGAACTCGGAAGATGTATCAAGGAACTAGGAATATTGACGCAGATTTGGCGAGCAATCTTATGGCGGTGGTTCGTTGATATCAAAATGCACTTACCAGTCTCTTGAACAAAGGCTGCAAATCGACTGTCGTCCCACCCCTAGGTATAAGATCAGAGAGCTAACCAACGTGGATTTCAATGTTCTCAAGGTGCGCAATCTCAACACGATTGAATGTTAGTCTGATGACCCCGCATGTGCGTTTTCCATATCCATCCATATGGGTAAAGACGCCTTAACCTAGAAATTATTTTGCAAGATTGGCACGCATCGGTTCGACGCCGAAACCGTCGAATTTTGTTGCGGCGATAGCTTGGATGTTCGTGGGATTACATGTCGATATCTGTCGGGCACCCAGAGCTTTGAATGTGAACGTTTCTCCATGTTTCCTGTGCAGGTTCACAAAAGCCTTTGGATGCTGGCCACATTTATTTTCTCTTCCAAGGAGACGGAAGAGATCGATTCATAGGAATGGCTCACTCTTGGGATATCAATTTGCGGGTTTGCAGCCATGTTGGTTGACCGCTTTGTTGAATCGAGAGCGTAATGATCATACTTTGAAGGCTGATGATAGAAGATAAACTGCTCTAATTAGGCCAAGATCTCTAGGTAGTGCACTATTTGAGTTAGCTTGGGTTTTGTGTATGTTTGTTGAAGGAGAGAAGCCGAAAGAAAGGCTTTCAAGGGGCTGATGAGGGGTTGTAGGACGGGTTATGCTGACAGTGTCAGCAATGCATGGTTCAAGGAACGCAGTCCACGAGGTCCAGTACAAGGGGGCAACAGTACGAGCGAGCCATATGACTGGTTCAATTAGTTATCTATATGAAAAATCCGGGCGACTTATCACATAAAAAGCCAGTATTGATCGGTGAATAGATGCGTGAACAGTGGATGACCTCGTGAAAGCCATATGATTTTTGTAGTGCTTTGATTACTTTATCCAAATCTATCTGGAAAGAGAAACGGACAAGCAAAGTCACAATCAATTCCTAGATTGTAACCGGGCATTGGGAAAGAAATTAATTGCGCCGATGGGGGTTCACTCGATTGATTCCCCACTTGGAAGGCAAAGCAGTGCAGGCCTGCTCAGATGCATTATCGATTTCCAACACGAAATTGGAACAATGAGCATGGGAGCTTCTCAAGTTGGCAGATAACGCAGGCAAAGGCGAAGAGCAAGATGATATTGCGGGACATAAATTGTTATTAAGAGCTCAGTGTAGAGAAAAGGACATGTCATCCTACTGTATGATTTGTATTGTGAGTTTTACTTGGAAGACACCTTGATAAGAGAATCCCGAGTCTGGTAATGCTCCGCGCGATTGAGGCAGGTGCAAAGAGTGGAGCAGGCAGTGGTATCTCATACGAGCTCTCTGATTTTTGGTCAATGCTGTTTGCTCCTCTAGCAAAACATAGGGATCTAACTTTCATGCCTTTCTGTCGTTTTCGTGCTATAATGTCATTGCAATTGCTCGTTGAGATTGTCGCATAGCCAACAAGCAAACCATCAACGACCTCTCAGCCAGTCAGAAAAAGGCTCTCCGCCGTATCACTTCACAGCAATGAAACCCACCCCATCTCTTGCAACTGCAAGGGCTTTCCTCAACGCCTGCTCCTCCGTGTCGGTCCACTGAATACTCAGCTGGTCCCACTTCTTGGTCTGGTACTCTCTCTTGAACTGTGCTTGCATAGCCTGGAGTCTGCTCATTTCTCGAGGATCGCCAGAACCGCTATAGATAACCAGTGCCGTACATGGCGGGAGTTCCTCGTGGATCTTAGCAATACGCCGAGTCAGCTCTGCTGTGACTTCGGAGACGGATTTAGAGGGATCAATGGTTGCCGGCGGTGGTAATGACGTAGTGGAAGCATTTGAGGGGTCGACCGTTGGCTTAGAAGGCGGGACATCCTTTACCTCGACGTTTGTATCAGTCGGAGAAAGAAAGGGGTTCGATGGAAGAGACGTGGTTCCGCTGAAAGGATTAGAATCCGATACTGGTTTTGCATCCCCGTTGGGCACGACTGCAGGCGTTTCGTCCTTTGCAGCAGCCTCGAGAGCAGTCGCCTTGTTGTTATTCCACCAGCCCTTCAAGGCTTCTAGTTCCCTGAATCTTGCCCAGACAAAGTCAACCCCTCCACCTGGAATCTCCCTTCCGTCAGGATCGCCCTTGACAGCTCGAATGACACCTTCCATGACCTCTTCATCATTCTTGCATCCAATGGGAAAATTTGCAGCAGCGCCGGGCCCTTTTCTTGGATCACCCCAATCAACAGCTGCGCTTGATTTGCCATTCGTCGGACTTGGTACAGCCGAGCCTCCTTGGTTCCTATACTTGACGCCGGCTCTGGCAACACGCTTGAAGATATTCTCGCCTTGTGCATCGCTAGTGCCCCAGTCCTTGCCCTTCTCACATTTTTGCTTAACCAATTCGAGACATGTTCTTGCATCTTCAATCGAGTCGTGACCAGCACCTGGACCGGTTGTGCCATGGCCTTTCTGAATCTCTTTGCCCAAGTATTTTTGCGCCAACCACTTCAGGGACGACTTTAGTGGAGGGCCACGTGGATGGGGGTATATAACAGCGGTGTCAATGATGAATGGGTGGGTGATTTTGAGTGCCGTCAGGTCTGAATTCAAGGAGTGGCCGATAAGTATGGTGCGAGGAGTGAGGATATCAAGAAGCTTCTTCTGGATATCTGGAAGTGTCGTAGTAACAGGCGCGAGCATCTTTTCCGTGATTCCAGAGTACCTATACCACATTAGTCAAAATTTGTTCAGTCTGCGGGAAGGCTTACTGGGTCACGTAGTTTGTAATGGGCTTGGCCGGCTTGACAAGTTCATCTATGATGACAGAGCCATCCCAGCCTACCACGCTGATTCGTGTGAGAGAGAACTCGTTTTCTCCAGTCATACACATCTCGCAGTCCATAGCAAGGATATCTCGACCTGCCGTAATACTGCCTGCTTCGATTTCGTTGTCTGGAGAAGTCCCATCAACGAAGTTTTTGACCAATGTATCAACCCAACCATGCTCCTCAGAAACACCATTAGACTTTCGACGTTCCATCAAATTCTGCCTATCGGTTTCGTCGTCGTACGCCGCAGGATGGAGGGTGTAGTCGTTCTCGTGAAGTATGTCTGGAGGATGAATAAACTCCGTGATGGGGGTTCGAGAATTCTTCCAGCCTTGAGGCTCCTTTGCCGGAGTGGCACCCTTCCTATTCTTGTTCCAGTTCTTCTCTTCCTTACTCTTCGGCAGAGGTGCTGTGAGCATAGCATGGAGCGGAGAATGCATTTTGCCGTACTTGTCATCTCCTGGGGTCTTGACGGGCCATATGTGCTCGAACATATCCGCAAATGGTTGCAGAGACTCCGGTAGTGTGTCTACCTTCAATCTATTGGGATAGTATTGATCTGGTGATCTGTAATTTCTATCATATGATTGTAGTTGGGAAGAATTATCATCGGCGGCCAGTGTATCAAACATAGACATCTCCAGACCTGGGACCATGAGAACAACAACTTTTCGAATCTCGGGTCGATGGCGGACAGAGACAAATTGAGGCGATGATCCATCTGCAAGAATGTATAGAACCAAGGTCTGAAGGTCACTGATCTTGATCTGTGAGTTCAATCGACATTCCTTCGAGAATTGGATGGAGGGGTAATTCTTCGAATGCGATTTGGGTATCTTCTTCGCCTTCTTCCTAGCACGATGATCTACCGTCTGCCACTCCTGTGAGCTGTGCCCATCGTCGTCCTTCGGCGATCCGGAGTCTTGACTGGGGCGTCTTGTAGATGTCAGATTGAATTTTGGGAGATCTAGTTGTTGAAGAGGCGGCATCGTGTTGCCAGTCTGCTCAGTGTAGCTTTCATCCTCAAACTTGCGCTTCTTACCATTGCTTCCGCTGTCAGACGATTGATCTGGACGATAATCGACGACTTCTTTGTCTGCGGTTGCCATCTTGCTTGACGTGATGGTTCGATAGGTCGTAGGCTGGTGATGAACCTCAAGATTTTCGGCGAGGTTTGCTCCCCTGCTTTTTAGTCGAGGCTAGTGCGAGGCTGAGACATGGCAAGGCTGAAAGAGTTCGGAACGGGCTTTCCTCCCACATAGTTTTTCTGAAAGTGATCAAGGGCAAAATTTATTAAAGATGCCCCAATCCATTTAGACCGCCATCATCAGTTGTTTTGATATCCTTTCACGTGGGAAATTGTTAACTTGATTGCCTCAGCCACTCCGTTGTTCGGAGACGCGAAAATTCGCGGTCGACGCGTCCATCGCGTCAGATTCTTGAAAAGGTATTCAACCACTTCGAGATGCATCAAGCTCCCCAAAACCGCCATTGACATCACATCGAAGCAGGTTGAGCTTGCAACTCGTGGGCTAAATGACCCGTTGTCAGGATGGACATCGTTACCTGTCACTGTCTAAAGTGCCAATCGGAGTTGGGGCGCTTCAGGAACTCCTGGAATGGGATTGGCAATACCTACTTCAGCCCTGTGCATCCTCCTCTGAGCGTTAACGGGGTTGAGAGTACTGGAGATATCTACGAAGCCGCCCAAGGTTCTCAAATTGAAGACAGGTATAATTTCTTGAGTCCATGCGATATCCCGCTCAAACTTGCTAATGTCAATCTTCGCAGCCTTCTTCAAGATCTAGCATGTGCAGTATGTCAGCATGTTCTAGGTTTACGGTGCGACAGTGCGCCAGATAGTCATCTGTTGCAGCAGTGAGTCTCCCTATCGCAATGTGTGCGCTCTCTCGTGGTGGATATACAAAGCGGCACTAAGTTTCCATTGTCCTTCAAAGTTTAAATTTACCTGGATCAGAGGGGTCAGGACTTTTAATATTCTACTTCGAGAACCTCTGAGATTTTGGGAAGGGGCGGCGTTTATTGTACGACCACCCAAGGGAACATTCGGACTGGAAGCAGTTGAAATGTTCTAGGGGCTCGAGACATACGGTGCCGCTTGTTTTGTCTATCGCGAATCTCTCTTGCGTCATGGCTAACTCAATTTTATAGAAACCAACTGATCTTAAGACTTGCAGAAATGTCTGTCATGTCAGAGGGATCTGGTGGAAAGGCCAAGATTTCCATCATGAAGACTTATCCCCTCACGAATTCCAGTGTTAGAGCCAGAACCCAGTCTGTCTCCAGAAGACCATCAGTCAGTCAACCGGTCTCCTGCCCGAAGCCTCCACGTCTGTTGCCGAGTGTTTCTCGAACACCTTCTACAATCAGTAGACAGTCAACACCGATGAAGACCCCTCCCCAAGTAGACGTTGCCAAGTTCAAGTCATGGGCGGAGGCAGCCATTAACACCCAGCAAGAGGATATTGGTCGACTCTCTAGGTCAGTTGACCGTATAGAGCGAGACATGCGGCTATTCAAAGACTTTATGGAGGAAGTCCGCACAGAACTTGCTTCGAATCGTCAGCTTCAAGAGCAAGAGAGTGGAGAGGGTCTCGCGAGTGTTAGCGCAGAGCTCGATGCGCTACGTCAACAAGTTAATTCGAATCCAAGGCCCGTTTCAAGAGGCAGTTTCGAGATCTCAAATCGGAGTCTCGATATCATAGCCAAAGATGTCCAGCTAGTCGGCCGGAAAGTTGATGAGATTGATGAGCTTAAGAGGGAACTGTAAGTCTCAAGGCCTTCATGCTATTGCTGATTGTCTTGCGATTTTCTCCTGAGACATTGCCCCAGTTCCCCCGGAACAATGTATATTAAGCATTTAACTAACTCTATCGTTTCTTAGGGGGCAGTTGAAGGCACGCCTCAGCAATTTCGAGAACCCTGCAACGAGCTTGTTGGAGGAAGCAGCGATTCCTTCTTTGGAAGGTCCTGCAAGTACTGCCGAGGCAAGCTTGGCTCATCATCTCAACGAAGCGCAGACCAGCGTCAGGGAGACCCGGTCTCGACGCAAAGGAGACCATGATCAGATCGAAATTAGTGGAACAAGTTCTGTTGATTACCAGCGAGAACTCCCAGCCAAGAGAAGAAGAACCAGAATCAAGCCTGTTAACGGGACAAGCACAGCTGCCGCAGAAAACACCTCAACTAGACCGGAGCAACAATTCAATGCAAGGTCAAGATTGGTGATCGAAATTCCCTCGTCAAAAGGAGCCACTCATTCTGTAATTCCCAGCCAAGACGAAGAACTCCATTTCAACTCCGTTGAGGATGAGGTAAATGATGACTATCAGCCTCTAGGACCGGCCACGCCGGTTTCTGGAGAAGATGCAAGAATGGATGTCACTCCCCCTGTCGATGAAACATCATTGCCGTTGTCAGAACGAATCCTACACCAAAACAAAATCATAGAGCCAGATTATCGAATGCGCGAGAAGGATTTTCAGCGGGGCAGGAAACGAGCTTTAAACGAGCTTCTCCTTACTAACGATAGCAAAGTCAATCGGCGATCTCGCCGTTTTCTTGGTGATCAGGAGAGTCAGACCCCGAGCAGATGGAGTCTGGCTCCCGAGACACCGCGAACAGGAACTCAAGATATTGCGAGCCAGCAGTTAGCAGACCCCTTTGAACTTCCTGTCTTGCCTTCAATTGAGCACTTTGAGTCTGTTCTTCATCCGCGCTTCACACCTCAGCCCCAGCCTGGTTCCTTGAGTAGTTCAATCACACCAAGAGCCCTCAAGCCATTAAAATGCGGTTCTTGCAAGAAACAATACACAAGCCGTACAGGTCTGAAGTACCACCAGGAGCATGCAAAGAGTGCTGAGTGCAGGCAAGGTGAAGGCAACGTGTCTCACGGAGAATTTACCTGCGATATGTGAGTCACAACCGTTCGGAGTATTCCCCTCTTCAATGTCCAGCATTTCTTAGGACATTCTACTGGCAATGTTCAACAGCTCTTGGAGCATTCTACTCACGAAAATATCTGAAAGAAGCATGCTGAATCCGATTCCTTGGGAATAGGTGCGGCAGCAAGTTCGTCGATCTGCAGAGATTGGACAAGCATCGATGTCGTGGCGAATTGGGAATCAAAATTACATTGGAGGACAGGGAGAGAAGCCTAGCTCATGGAAAAGCGGCTGTTGCTGCTTATGAGGCAACACTCGCAGAGAGAGAAAGACTTGTCCGGCAGACTCTAGACAGAGAAATGTCTGCGGTATTGTAGGTATTACGGGTGCGATAACAGCGTAGCGAAGTTTGATCAACAGATCGCGGAAATAATGATTTGTGTGTAGTGACATGGGCATAGTAGAACCATTGCTTCGATATTGCAAGACTCCCCTAGGAATACGGCAAAAGACTGTGTTTATGATAGAGCTCAACTCGACTCGCCTCGAATGCGGATCAGGGGTGGTGCCCCACACCTCCGGTTCATCTGATGCCTCCGCAGTTAGCCGTCACCTCGCCATGACCGCAGCGGCGCACAAACTTCCCCAGATTCCTCGGGCTACGGCCCAGAATCTCGCAGACATGTCCGCCTCCCGGACGGACATTCATACAAGCCAAGAGTCATATACTGAATTTCCATGCAATGTAGTCAGTCGGCTGTCTTGATCTGGAAAAATCCGTATTGTTCCCAGCAATCATCAATCTGGATCAATCCGATCTTTTTCTCCCGACGATCAGGCTGTAGTTCCGCTAATAGTCGCTAATTCGTATCATGTCCTTTCCTATATTATGAGGTCTACCAAACGAGAGACCTCTGGAATTTACTACATTGGTTACGCAACGCGGAAGAAGAACAGGACGATGCTGGGCAATTTACTGTAAGCCCATCCCTCACTCCCTTCTTAGTCCAGAATGAGAAGCTTGGATGAGTGAAAAAGGTAATGGGAGGATGGGAAATAAATAGATTCAACTTCCTCGTCGGACCTCCCTACACAATAGGGCTCTTCCAACTGCCACAACGCTACCAAGTGGTCAACGGCTCCTCGACAATCCGCTCAGGCGTGCCACTTCTGCCGTACTGCTTCGTGATCCCCGTGGGCGTCATCCTCACCTCGCTGCTCGCCGGCAGCTTGAATATTCCGCCTGTTTACTTCCTCGTCCTCAGCACCGTCCTACAGATCCTCGGCTCTGCCCTCCTGTCTGTAACCTCGACGGACGACAAGCTTAATGGTAGCCAGTACGCGTATCAAGCCCTCTCTTGACTTGGGATTGGTATAGGACTGGGCATGATCTTAATTCCTGTTCCGTATCCAATTGAGCCGAGAGATCATTGTTTGTCCCTTCCCCTTCCACCCCTCTCACACACTACAACACCCCAAGCCAAATCAAAACTGTACTGAAGATTCCCCAAAGCGGTAGCAATCGGCTCGGCCACGCAGTTCCGCCTCATGGGCAGCGCCATCGGCTTGGCAGTAGCAACCAGCATCCTGAACACCTACCTCCGCTCACACCTCTCCCGGTTTCTCTCCGCCCCTGAGCTCTCTTCCCTACTACAGAACACACAAAATGTCAGCACGTTGAGCGTCGAGAAGCAGGAATTGGTAAGGAGGGTTTTTGGCGAGGGCTACAATCTGCAGTTTCGGATCGCGACTGGCGTGGCCGGAGCGCAGTTCTTCGCGGCGGGGGTTATGTGGGGGAGGAGGAATGTTGTTTGATTTGACTTTCTGTTGGGTCTAGTTGCGAGAAAGGCATGATAGGTAGAAGAGAAGGAGAGACAATGATGGGCGGAAAGATCCAGCTGAATCTTGTGGGACGATAGGAGGTCAAGTAGAGTGTACGGCACACCAAGCAGGGCTTGAGATTACGTGAGAAGTGAACTGGGAGGTACCTCATACCAGATTATGGGCATCTTCCCAACTGTCAAAGAGCCAATTATTCATACCATCGAAATCGATCATCGTATCCTGCATCTGCACTCGTTAGCCTTCTGCTCTCTATACACCACACGCCACTCACCAAAAGATCCCAATCAACATTAGACTCCGCCATCACCTGACTTGCTCTTTCAACAGGCCTCTGTTCATCAACCAGGGTATGCGTGACCAATCTCCTCAACAACCCATACGCCTCTTCCGCAGCCACTTTCGCCCTCCCAGCAATCGCCTCTCTAAAATCCTTCCCACTCTCCATTGCGGCAGCCTGACTCTGCACCATGCACAAAAACAAGTACCCCTTAACATTCGTCTCACTCCCAATCTCCACCCTCCTCCTCTCCACCCGCACTAGTTTATCCAGTGCATCATGCAGCGGTCTCCTCCCCACCTTCCCTGCTTCCGACGCTGGCGACGAATCCTCCTTGATTTGATTTATCAGCTCCAGCGCCACGGCTGTGGAGGCGCGCCACAGGATTTCCTCGAAGAAGCCGCCGGTGAGAAGGAGCGTGAGCGGGAGGTGTTGGTTTTCTGATGTGGATGTGGATGGGGATGAGGAGGGATCGTTGCTTGGATAGGGGTGCGAGAGAATGGCTAGCGCGGCGTCCAGGGACATTTTCCGCGAGAAGTAGAATCGGTGGTCGGTTTTTGCTTGGATGGCGAAGGGGTGGTGCAAGGCGAGCAGGAAGCGGCGGGTGAAGAGGTCTAGGAGGTTCCTGTGTGATGTTGTGAAGGCGGTTTGGGGCGCTTGAGGTGAGGTATAGAGGGTGGAATGTGAGCGTATGTGGGATGTGAGGTCGCTGCTCAGTGCCAGCACCTTTTCGTAAGGTGGGATGGAGCGAAAATCGTTGATCAAGAAGCTAATCTCCAGTCTTGTACGTAGGGATTGGAGAAGGGTGATTTGAATTGAAGAGTCTGTGTAGACCGTATCTGGTTTTCGAGTTGAATAGGTCTTGGTTTGTTCGTCGATATCCGCGTCGTTGTAATTTGCGGGCGGCTCGCAGTCAAAATCGTTGAATGAAAACATAGGCGGCATTCCACAGTCGAGCGAGGACTGAGTGGTGAGTTCGGTAATTGTAGCCCAGAGACGTCTGCGTAGTTCTGCATGGAAGACTGAAATTTTGGGGAAGTGGGAAGGATCGCGGTGGAGACCCATGCTCATGGCGGTACGGAAAAGTGTTCCAACATTTATCCAGAGTAGATCACTTTCAAGGTTGTGCGTCTGGCGAGCAAGGGTGAAAAGGCATTGGGCTTCAATTCCTGCAAGATTCAATCTTGCCTTTTCGAAAGGGCCGCTAAGCCAAGTTTGAGCTGCGTATATCCACTGAGGAGCCAGAGAGCGTAAAGCAGTTCCGTTGGTACCGTCATCGTAGAAAATAGTACCAATGGCCAGAACGAGTAGCAGCTTGACAACAAAACTGGTGCTTCCAGCGGCTGGGTCCTTCCAATATTGCTCATACTCTTTGAAAAAGAGTCCTCGATGCAAAATCCGATACGTTGACTCAAAGGTATCAAAGTAAAGCTGAACTAGCTGATCCGCAATTTCTTGTGATGGGATATGAGATTTGAAGTCCGGAAGAGTGTAGGAACTAATTGGACGTTCAGCCTTAACCACCCTTGCCATATCTTTACATTTCTTCAAAAGCTTCTGAAGTTCCGAGCCATTGTCGAACTTCTCGTAATTCTTCAAGGAACGGAGTTGATCGAACTGTTTCTCAGGATTGTTCTCTTGTTTACTATGGGGATTTTGGTCATACCTCGTCAAATGTATTCATCCAGTGGCTCATACCAAAGAATCTAGTTTTGTTAATGTTGCCTCGTAGTTTGGGGATTTTGGTTATGGACAACGATGGGCCGGTCTCAATCCGTCTCGAGGAATAGTTATTCGAACTTGATGTTGTATCCTCCAACTTTTGAACACGTTCTTTGAGTTCTTGAATGCCTGCTTCTGTTTGAGGTGTTCTTGCCCCAACTGAGCTTTCAGAGGCATGTTGCTCAGATCGGGTGTATTCGGCTGCTGGCGGTGGAGGTCTCCAGGGAACACTTGAGCTTAGAGAGCGATTTTCGAATCCAGGGAGAACTGGGGCTGATAAGCTGTTGAACGGAATAGTATCGTTTGGCCCGGAAAATCCATGATTTGAATTTGAAGGCGGTATGGATAAGGTATCGTGAAGAGTTTGTTGGGCGAAATTAGACAACTTTCCCTTGGCGGCAACTTCGGGATCGTCGTATTTGCAGGCAGCGCTGGTGGCGCTATTGTATTGGGAACATTGAGTGCAGGGTAACTTCCTATCACACTTGACCTTTCGGTGTCGACATTGGACACATGATAAGGCCGGCCGACGTCGTCTGCGCGGCGTTCGAACGGGCACCTCGCTGAGGCTAAACCCTTCGGATGAGGCCATAGCTCTGTTCGGGCTCAGGTAAGCCACCTTTCATCTTAACAATTGATTCATAAGTTCTAGTATCAAGTCATCGGGGATATCGTAATCGATATGAGAACAACCGGAAACACCCTGTTAATAAGCAAGGAAGCTGAACTCTGGTGAAGATTTTGGAGTTAAATCCGGATAAGCGAACCCGCCCCCCCTAAGGAACGGCCGTCGGCCGAGAAGGTTGAGCCCGAAGTGGGAGTCTAACCACTCCGAGCCACACAAGGGACCTGACACATCAGCACTAGCTACACTGGTCGTCCTCGTCTCCCAGACACCGAGTTTTAGGTAATGCGAGATCAGATCTTTTCCATCATTTAAACAAGTCCTCGAGTGTGCTCGGTCATTTCTCTGTCCATCTTTTTCGTATAAGTATGTGTCCAAAGTCTTGTCCCAACACCTCACCGTAACCACCATTTGAGCTTCGTCACTTTCTCGGCCCACGTATATCATTGGCCACTGGGCTTGCATCAGAACTTCATATAACCGATTCGCCCCTGTTTGCCCCGCAATCGAGTCGCCTCACAAGATGGAGAAGGATCCCCAAAATGGCGAGGAAGCGCCCTCCTTGAGAGAGGAGGGTATCAAGAAAGATCAAGATTACAATGACGCCGATAATAAATCCGACGAGACAGAAAAACCCGTACCCAGGCCAGAGGACGCCCCCAGAGCTGAAGCTCCAAAACCCACTGGAACTGGACCGGTACCAAATGGCGGACTTCAAGCATGGCTTCACGTCCTGGGCGGATTTTTTCTGTTCTTCAACACTTGGGGTATCATGAATGCCTTCGGTGTCTTTCAAACTTACTACGAATCCGGAGCACTTTTCACTGAATCCTCATCCAATATATCCTGGATCGGAGCAATCCAATCATTCATGCTGTTGACAGTCGGATTCTTCTCCGGCCCGCTATACGACAAAGGCCATCTCCGAATCCTGTTGATCGTTGGCAGTTTCGGCATTGTGTTCGGACACATGATGCTCAGTCTCTGTCACACTTACTGGCAAGTACTTCTCGCCCAAGGATTCTGCGTGGGAATCGGAGCCGGATGTCTCTTCGTACCTTGCGTTTCCATTCTCCCAACATACTTCAACACGAAACTCGGGCTAGTCGTCGGTCTCGCCACGGCAGGTTCCTCGTTCGGCGGCGTCATCTACCCAATCGTCTTATACCGACTCATCGACAGTGTCGGTTTCGGTTGGTCTGTACGAGTAATCGGCTTCATCGCCCTCGGGACTCTTGTCCTCCCAATAACGGTCATGAAGATGCGCGTCAAGCCGCCAAAAGCAAGAGCACTTATCGACTGGTCCGCATTCACGGACGTTCAATTCGTGCTGTTCACGATCTCCACGATGATCGGCTTCATAGGTGTCTACGTCTTGTTATTCTATCTCTCCTTCTTCGCGGAAGAACAGCGGATAACAGACACGAACCTAGCGTTTTATCTTGTGCCAATCTTCAACGCAGCGTCGTGTTTCGGTCGAACACTACCCAACGCTCTTTCAGACAGAACCGGACCTTTCAACATCGTCGGTCCCGGTGCTGCGATCGTCGGGACGTTGATTCTCTGCATGATTGCAGTGAAAAATATCGCAGGGGTTGTCATCATCGCCATACTGAGTGGATTCTTCAGTGGTGTTTTCATTGCGATGCCGCCTGTCTGCTTCGTCGCATTGACCCAAGACAAGACAAAGATTGGGACGAGGATAGGGATGGGCTTTAGCATCATTGCTTTTGGAGTGTTGGCTGGTGGGCCCGGCGGCGGTGCTATCTTGGGCAAAGTTACCCCGTTGAACTGGCATGGACTGTGGATCTTTGGTGGTGTCACGCCGCTTATTGCCGCGGTGTTATATGTGGGACTGAGGGTGCAGAGGAGCGGGTTCAAGGTCAACGTGAAGGCTTGATTGATACTTCTTCATACTTGACAGTTTGGTTCACATATTTTGATAAAATATCATGAAGTTTGGAATGGATTCGAGATAAAATGGGCATTTGCATAGCATTGGAGGGGGACTGCATATTGGAAATGGCAGCATAAACACTGGACGGGCTTTATTATCGTATATACGGAGCGCTGGATCTGTAAGGAAAATAATTTAGAACAGATAATTGTATGTATTTTGACCCGGGACATTTGCAACAACTGAATACGTTGTACTCGAGTAATATTGCCTCATCTACTTTATGGGGACAACACCATAACTTAGCGACCCAGCCCCTGAGAGGTGGATGTTTAGCGATGGGGTGGGGTAATGCGGGGTAAAACTTCCCCATGCTACACTGTAGTGACACCCATCCAGGCCGCATCTACAAACAAAATCTCATAAAAATCTCCCGAGGATTATTATCAGGCAAAGGATCAGACAAGGTTGGCTAGTGGGGGTCTCAAGGCTTGAGATAATCAGTAAATGAGATCGACATTTCAAATGAGGACAGAAATAACAAGCAGAACTCTGCTTCCATGTTACAAGGAGATTCTGAGACTTGATAATTTGGCAAGTAGTTCAGCATATTGTTTTGGCTTACTGTGAGCCTAGTTCAAGATTTATTTCACTTGAATGCTGCTTCGATGAAAGCCATTCTGAGAATGAAGGCCAGAATTTCAAAAGTATGTGCAGTGAGGAGATCCGTTGATACTAGGTTGCCGTAAACATACACATGGCTCGTACACTACCAGAGCTGGAGCGCGTCCAGATAGGCCTTGGGACGGGCAATTCGCCAAAGAATGGCCATAAAAGATGTGGCTTTCAGTCATCGCAATCATGAGACGAGGCTGGCGCACCCCCATCCAACTCTTCAAATCATAATATGTTGAATCCTCCAATGTTCGTGATGCGTACTTCCCATTTTGTTTTTCCCCTTTCACATACCATCATGGAGTAGTAGTCACCAGCTCCCATGCACATTCTGACAGCTTCCTCAACGCCTCCATGATCGTTTTCGCCTCCTTTTTACCTTCTGCAGAATTTGCATCGGTCATCCACTCTCGTAAACGCCCTCCCACTTCACGCCTGAGCCTTTTCGCCTCTTCCACAGATCTCAGCTCGGCCTCAACCCTCCTCATAAATATACTGTCTTTTCCATGGCTCTTCGGTGCTTGTTCCACGACGAGAATCATGATCGCATGGACTGAGTTGATCCAATCGAAATCTTCGATCGCACGGTGAAGCTTAGGCTGGAGTTTCGCATCCCCAGCTGAGGCTTTGTTGGCCAGAGGCGAACGTGTTGAGATTTCTTTGAGTAGTCTAGCGATGCTAATCAATCGGATGATACGTACCGGGTGGTGTGGTTGTGGGTAGTTGTAGACATCGCATTCTAGAAACAAGAAGAGAAGGATTACCAGTGCGTCGAGCCAATCGCGGCCATCGAGGTAGTTCAAGTATATCTCGTGCATGATCTTAGGGACTGGGTGGAGCGCGAATTCCCCCCTGTCTGGCTCACACGCACAGGCGGCTTTCTTGAGCACTGGGGTCTTCGCCCCTGGGTATGTGTTCATTGTTTGGCTCTGCTGGAGATAGCTGGTCGCCTTGCTGAAGTCAATGGGACAGCCACCCCCGACATTTGTTCGCTTGTAGCGGCTCACGAGATTTTCAGCGTTGCGGGTCAGAGAGTCGCTGTTGCACAGCAAGTCAACTCTCCCCTCTGCCTTCGGAGCGTAGCGCAGGAATGTGGAGTACGGACTCTCGTCTTTGCTGCACTTCCCGCATTGACAGTCGAAGAAGTATCTCTGTTTGAGGTTCGTTTGTCTTGACGTCCGGTCCTCCGTGGCGGTAATGTAAGAGATGAAGACTTGCTCTCCTTCTCCAATTGATTCCAGTGCCCGCAATGCTACAGATCGCCCATTAAACACGACTACAGCATTCGGACTGCATGAGTGATTGGCTAGCGCCAAGATAGGCTCAAAGCAGAGCCCAACCGGGGTATCATCCGCTAGCGTAGCACGAAATGCATTGGTGATCATCTATACATGTATCAGCACGTATTTCTATATCCGTGGAAAACGGCGTACATACCCGGCAGAGAACCTGGATGGCAAGCTCTATCCGATCTTGCGGACTCTTCGAAAACGCAACAGCACCCTGAGCCTGAAGCACAATGTCGTCCCACCGCTTTCGATTCATCTTCAAGTTTTCAACATGGGATTCAAGGGCCGCCCACCGTGGATTCAAAGAGGCGCCATGCTGGTGCTGAAGGAGGAGTTGGATCAAAGCACGAACAGGTGTTGGGGGAATGTCTGGCAGGCTCTTCAGAATGGGACATTCTTTCAGGTGCCCGGCGAGCCAGTCCTTCTTATGGCATTCGGAAGAACAGTACCGCGGGACTTTGCACGCGCTGCATCTCTTGAGTGGTGGAGCGTCTTTAAGCGGCGAGGCCTCAATTAGGCAGAACGAGCAGACTTTGTCGAGCGCCTCTTTTTCCACTACCAGAAGATAAGGAGAAGAGAGCTGGATGATGACATCGCCGATACCGATATCTTGGCTCGCTGCAAGACCACTGCCGGCAATTGGGTCTTTTATAACGCTGGTGTTGTTGATGTCCATGGCTGTTGGTAACTTGGTCCAACGGGTGAGAGATCCGAATGACTGCTCTGCTTGGGAAGAATGGGAAAGCCGACGATCTTCCGAGCGATGTTCGTTCCCCCAAGAACGGATTTGGGTGTGGCTCGGAAGATTTGTCAACTTTGTTGCATATTGTGGCGTGCTGTATGAAGGAGGCCTCGTTGAATAAGGTCGGAAAGAGCAAAGGACGTCAAAATGGACATGTCACGTGATGGACCACTCTTCGCCCCTTTTTGGAAGGAAGCGAGGGGGAGTAAACACACTGGATTAGCTTCTCCTCTCGTCCTTTCCGTTTTTGGAACGCCTCCGGAAGGGCGCGTGGAGTTGCATACACGAGCGTCTCAGTCGATCGTCTGATCTCTTAATTAAGATACGCTATTCAACCCTCACCTCGTTCCACACGGTCCACTTCCTCTCCCAAAAATATCCCGAAGGTCGAAATCTGAGCCGAGTTTTCTGAGTTGTCATACGAGTTACCATTAGATAAGTATTAATAATGCAAGATTACCGGTATATATCTACGTTTACAAGTGCATAACACACTAGCATCAACTTTTCAGATCCTACTCTTGCCTCGCTTCGACGAATATTGCTGGGACTTTCTATGTCGTGACGCAGTCCGACCTCCTATTGACACAGCGCATTCCTCTCTCTACCCAGCTACGGAACACTGCTCCAAGTTGTGCCACTGGCAAGGAGCGCCGTCACTGTGTTGATTTGCGTGAAGGTCTGGCTTACCATCAGTGTTGACTGTCATTAAAACATCAGCCATTTGTAAAAATCAACTGATGAATGTTTCCAGCTTAAAACTTACTGTAGCGTAATTATAAGAAGGAAGGTAGACCGCCGCAGATGGCCCTACACACCCACACCACCCCCGAGTATACGCGTGCAGGAGGACTATGGAGGCAATGCCAGGTGGGATGCTGGCTTCGTTAGATGTAAGGAAAAGGAAAAGCGGCAGGGGAGGAAAGTATTTGAAAAGAAACACCCAGCACCAGTCGCCTTTAATGTTTATCGCGCCTCCAAGCACGGGGCCTGGACCCATTGCCAGGACGAGGGCGAGAGTCGATAATGCCATGTAGGTGGGCCACTCGCGCTTCGGAAGCAGCTCGAAGGACATGACGACAGCAAGAGCGTAGCATCCAGAGGCTCCGATGCCTTGGAATGCCCGGAAGGCAATTCTGATCCAGAATCTTTGCGTTAGTCAATGTCTTAGGAAACGGAGCAAGCCTCCCTTACAACTGAGTGATCGTTTGACTCGCTCCGCATGCACCTGAGAATATCACAAAGGTGCTGGCGGTGCAGAGAAATCCCAATTTACGCCAGAATATATCGCTGAATTTGCTCTAAATAATGAGAAGCCCCTGCTTTCTCGTAAGGGACTTAATCGTGTCTGGTTGTTAATGGTGGAATAGTGGGGACCAAGTCGTACAACGTATGTAAGCATATACGCTTCAATAATCCACCTACTCTTACTGAAATCCCCCAAGTCGTTGGCGATGGTGACGAGAGAAGTGCTGACTATCGTCAGCTCCATGTTGACCAGCCAGAGAAAAGTGCATAACCTCAGAGAGGAGAAAACAGTCAGCGCATGTCAAGGAGCGGTGGGTGTGTGTGGTGACTGACGAAAGAGGAATGATATTCCTTCGCCAGCCAGTGATATAGATATACGGATCCTCGTCACCAACATTTACATTCTCTTCTTCCCAGATACTTCCTCTCTCAACCCGCCCACTCATCAAAGATACCTCAACAGCGCGTTCTTGCTTGCTCCTTCGAGCAAGACCAAGATTCCTAGACTTCTCGCTCGCTCCGACCGTTCGCCTCACATGCCCCACTTCCCGACTGCTTGAAGCATACATTTCCGTGACCGCCCCCGACATGCCGTCTGGATTAAAATTTAAAGCAAAATCTGTGGGTTGATATCCCGTATCGAATGTTGGAGAGAATGGAAGGGGTTGAGAGTAAAGGGCGGACTTGCTGGAGATTCGCACTTGGCCTTACCCGTGCGGAGGCGCCTACCGGCTTCCGAGGGATTGCAACTAGAGAAGACATCCCGGACAAAAGGTGCGTTTGGATTGTTTTGGGTTCGAGTAAGGTTGGAAAACAGCCGGCAAGGGGTTTTGGCTCAGAAAACTGTCCCATCTATTAAGAAATTGGATGGGAAGAGAAGTTTTGGAAAGTTCGGCCTGAGGAAACAATAAGATATTTAAATACCTTCAGTGCCCGATACCGAGGTGACAACTGATCATCCGAAGGGTGATAGAGATATACAACGCGTTACTTGATTTGCTAACCGTCATTTATGTACGTCAGCCCGTACCCGAATATAATATGCATGCTAGATGGACGAGTAAACGATCGTGTAAGCGTAGATGCTGTGCCCCATGGAAAGGAAGTGGCGTAAGCCAAAACATAATTCGCAGCCTCTCATAACTCTATCTGAAGAACCAGTCCTAAAACGGAAGTTCAGATACGGAAAGCTTGAGCTCACTTGAGCCGCTCCGTATTGCACGCAGGGCATCCGCCTTCAGAGAACGCAAGACAGATGCTCATCAATGTTCCATGCCGTGTTCGTTTTGATAATCTTTTCATGCTTCGTCAAGCTAGTAGCACTGCTATGATACACTTCCACAATGTTCCAGATAAGCTGGATCGAATCACCTCTCCCTCAACCATGCCATTCCACCATGTATGTTCATTTCCCAGCTAAGGCGATGTTCCAGAGTAAGCAGGAACATTTAATAGTTCAACTCTCCCGATCCACCACCCGCAACTGCATCCAAGTCCTCATAACTTTTCAAGCTGCGTCCTTGTACTGCCTCGCGTGGACCAACAGCCGCGCCACCTGCCGCGCCGTCTCCCCATCGTCCTGCACCGCTGCTAGCACCCCCACGTCTGGATCCAGGAGGCGGACTCAATCTTCCGTTCTCGCCGTAGCGTTGGTTGGGTCTCCTGTCGTATGGTCCCGCGCGGGTATTGTTCTGGTATTGTCTGCCTCCTCGGCGGATTGGCCCTGCACCGCGATTGTCACCGAAACCTGGTTGAACGGCGTTTGCGAAGAAGGGAGCAAAATGGCCAGGAGGACCGAATGCTTGCATTGGAGCCATGCCGTTGCCTAAGCCGAATTGTTGTAAATTGAAGCCGCGAGGAGTGCCGGCTGGCATCTGATTGTTTGAGGGAGGGAAGTGGCCATTGCTGTTAGCATCGGATCTTGATGGTGCGATGTGAGCGGGGTCGAGAACATAGGTATTGACGAGGTCAAACTGACATGAGGTTAGCTAAGCTCTGGGCTCGAAGATGTACCACTTACGTCTTTCTTCTTTTCCTCAAGCCAATCTGGATGACGCTTCTCAACATGCTTTCTCCAGAAGTGCTCCTCCTTGAAAAGCTTTTGACATTCTGGGACACGGCATCTGAACTTATGCTCATCCTCCTGCTTGACAAACTTGATCAACTCTACTTGCAAAGCCTCTTCGGTCGGCATGCCACCAAGCTTTCGAACATCAGCAGAATCAGGATCCAGGATTTGCATAAGCTTTTCTTCGAAAGTCTTGACCCAATTAAATGCGCGTTGAAGCTGTTGCTCGGCCTTTGTAGCTGTACCGTTTCTTTGGAACTTTCGATCACCCTCAGGAGAAAGTGCACCCGTGTCCATATCATCACTCAAATCAGTTCCGGATCTCTTCTTTCCTGGGAATGGTTCGCCAAGCGCGCTGGCTCGGGCTGCAACTTTACCAGCAGTGCTCAAGGTGTTGCGTGGTCGGCGAAGATGGCCTCCGGGACACTTCCGAGTGAGTTCGTGGATGGAGTCGCTCTCGAAGACACAGAAGAAACAGAAATTGAAGACTCGTCGAAGGTACTCGACCATAAGGTCAAGCTGCTTTTTCTTGACTAGAAGGTCCTCGTCGTCGACTTCGTCATCCAAAGCACCCTCTTCCTCTTCTTCCTCTTCGTCTTCAATCTCCTCGCCTTCATCCATAGCTTCATCGAGACCAATAAAATCACGATTCTTCTTGACTCTCTTGACAACGGGAGCAGTGACCGGTGGTACAAGCCGGCCTTGGCTCCGCAAGTCTTCAACCCGCTCTTCAATCTTCAATACGGCATTGAAATCAGAACCAAAGTCTTCTTCGTACTTTTGAACTAATCGCTGAGCAAGTTCGAGATCCTTCTCAATACGCTCTGGAGCGGAGAACAGATCCCAGAGAGCCTTCTTGCGAGGTTGACTAGGTGGAACATGTACGCCGACGTGGCAAGTGAAGTCTCCTCGAACCTCGTCCTTGACAGTTTTGCCATTGATTGCTTCTAAGGCCTTCTCCGCTGTCGATTGTGGAACCGGAGGAGCAAGTGGAATATCCCCGTCTTCATCCCTGACATCTGGCCGGTCAACAATTGGAGCAATTTCTGGGGCGGGATGGAGCATGACCCAACCAATTCGATGGTACCGCTTGCTGGGGTTCGGATCACTCAAACTCAGCCATTTGAAACCTCCTTCGTCTTCACCTAGATGTTCCTTGCAGAAAGCCTCCAGATTTTGTCGGCTGACGTGAGGGGCAATGGTTTTAATCAGAAGAGTCGGCTGGAAAGCGTTTTCATCTCTGATATCACTTCCTCGGGAGGGGACAAGATCGCCAACGCCAAGAACCTCATTCGCAGCAGTTGTCTCTCCCTCTTCCTTCTCAATCACTCCACCTAAACCATTGCTTTCACTCTTGGGTATGCCTTCCAATGAATACTCGTCGAAGGTGCCGGAGTCGAGATCTTGCTCCCATTGACTGTAATTGCTTCGTCGGAACTCATTGAGTTGCTTGCGTAAACCATCCCTGACTTCTGCAAAGTACCTCTCCAAGAACCACTGCTCGCCTTTATGCTCAGAGACAAAACTCCGTGCCATCTTTGCCTGGAGCTCTTCTTTGTATGCATCGTACGCGACTTGTATCTTGGCCTTTTCCTTGTCACGATCCTCTTGACTATCACGAGATCGAATAGGGCCTCTCTTGCCGGTTCTGGCCAGCTCTTTCTCTTCCTTGATCTTTTCATTTGTGCGCCACCATTCACCGAAGTATGAAAAGCCGACTTGGAAAGGTAGTGTAGCTGGGTCTGCTAGGGGATTGACTGTGATGGGAGGAGGGCCCGAGTCCTGGCCAGGAACATATCGATCAATATTGAGGGGACCTGGTGAGACTCGGCGTTCGCGGTCTCCACGATCTCTCTGTCTGGTATAATCATCCCTCGGAACTCGACCGGACGGCTCGTATCGATCAACGGTTACGGGGGAACGAGAACGGTCTCGGGTACGACGTCTATCGGCACCTGGCAAAGAGAACCGTAAGTACAATGGTCAATAAATTTCTAGAGATGCATGTGGGCAAGCAATATGCGCAATTTGTTAAGGACTGCGGTAGAAGAACGGGTAAACCGTTGCCGGCCCGATAATGGGAATGAAGATGGGACCGGCTGAAAAATAACGTTATGGGACGAAACATACCAGGAGATCTGCCACGGTAGAATGTATCCGTCCGAGGATTCTCGCGCTCGCTCGATCTGTATTCATCCCGTCCACTCCAGCTAGTGCGCTCGGGGGGGGACCGGGCAGAGCTCGACTCTCTGTAACCAGGGTAGGCGTCCATTGTACCAGAGGGTCGATAGCGATCGAGAACGCTAGGTGGTCGACTTGGCAGGCTGGGTAGGACAGACGCAATCCTTTTTGGAGGCTCGTAGCGTCCTAGCGAATGTCGTTTGTTAACCTGGTGAATGTGATTGTCGCAGCCGGGCGGGGACAACGAAGAAGCTGCTACTGCTGTTTGGCGCCATGATTGCCGTTAGATTGATTGTTCAAAAGAGAGGCAGGACAATGAGTGGAGTGAACAAGGGGGAAAGCGACGCAAGATAGTATGGTTTGTAGAAAAGAGGGCAGAAGTGGGAGGTCGGCGCCTATCAATCAATGGCGAACGACAACTGTCTGGTCTCCAATGTACCATAAAGAGTGGGGGGAATGGAAGGATTGAAGATGTGCAGGTGAAAGGTACGGAGGCGGGTAGTATTGTAGAAAGAAGGATGGACGAACAAGATTGAGTATATCCTCGCGCGCGGCGGTCCTCATCGCAGGCGGAGCTGGAGAGATGAGGAGGAGGAGAAGGACGGTTGAATGTTCCAGGCGGCGTGGATCTTTGAGCAGCCATGGCTTTGGCCGGGGGCTGGGACTGGGCTAATCGGGGGCGCGGGCGGTTTGGGGGCAAGCGCGACAGGGCGCGAGGTTGGGTGACAGGAGCATATGGCTCTGATTGGCTCGGTTCAGTCGACGGAGCGGAGGAACGCCCTTGCCCGTTTTGGACAAGCGTGGCGTCGATGAATGTACAGGGGTCCCTGGCCAGGAACGGTGCTCCCAACTCCAAGTTCCAAGGCAAGGCATGGGCTGATCCGCTTGAGCTCAATGGTACCACCTTCACCTTCTCTAGTACCATCGCTTTCTCCTCTCCCATCAAACAACGTTGTGTTCAACAGCGTAACTCCGTTGTACCACCAAGCACTGAACATTGGCAAGTGAGTTACTCCGTTTGTTTACACTGCGCTCCAAGTTATCCCTGGACAAAGCCATTCATTCATGTGAAGCGACGTCATAAGGAGGGGAAGCTCGAGTTGAGCTCAACCTCGACCTCCAACATCACACCATTCCATTGTTCTACTGAACCCCGAAACATTGAACCTCAGTTCTCAATTCTAACAACACCAATAGACCGCAACAATGACGACCTACATCCCATCCATCACGCTGCCAGCGATGGTCTTCCAGAACCCCGCAGCGTCAATCCTCCTCCCAATCGCCCTGGGAACAGCTGTAGGATTCTCCGTCCAGCGTAAGCTCTCCCTGCCGTCCCCGGCCTCTCAACGAAGCCGCTCCCCCCTCCTACCTGCATCTTCCAGCTAACACCCTCCCTCCAGCAAAAGAAACCCAAAAAACCTACATGGCACTCAAGCAACCCCCTTACCGCCCACCCCCTCAAGTCTTCGGCCCCGCTTGGACCGTTCTCTACGGCTTGATGGGCTACGCCGCCTACCGCGCCCACTCAACAGGAATGAACCCCCTTTCCTCCGCCAACCAACTCGTGCTCTTCAAGCAAGGCGCGACCCTCTACTCCGTGCAACTAGGCCTCAACCTCCTCTGGATGCCGCTCTTCTTCGTCGCCAAGCGGCCCATCGAAGCCACCGTTGACATCGTTGCCTTGACTGCTACGACAGGGTATTTGACTTATATCTGGGGGCAGTAAGTCCTTCCTTACCTCTTCCTTCCCCCCAAAACTCCCCCTCCGGAATCTCAAAAGCTGACTTCCTTGCCTCCCGCACAGAGTTGATCCCGTCGCTGGCTGGGCTCTCGTCCCATACCTCGGATGGTTGGGCTTCGCGACGTATCTCAGTGCCGGAGTTGGGTACTTGAATGGTTGGAATATTGCGGATAAGGAGGTTGACGCTAGTCCCGCGGGCAAGGGGACCAAGTATGTTGATGAGAAGGAGTAGATTGTTTTTGATTGTACGAGAATTGGGAAGGGAGTGAACCAAGCTGGTGGGGATATTGGGGGGAAGTGGATCGGTGCTCGGAATGGGAATTCGGAATTGGGAATGTGGGTGATTGACGGGGTTTGCGTTCGGCCTGTTCCGGTGTTTTGCTTTGCTTTTACTCAATCAAACAAACAGATTGGGTTTGTACATTGTTTTCCAATGCAGAATTCTCACCATTGTCCCAGCTCCAGAACGCACAATGTCAAATTGTCATCATTACTTTTTATTGTATTTCGAGCTTCTTGAGCCTATGCTAGCATTCTCTTTCTATCCTGCAGCACCGTGTTTATCGTCCCATTTCCTTGGAAACAATGCCAACCCAACCCTGTTTGAACGCCAGCTCCAAATTGCGAGCCATGAAACCATATGCTTCCCGTCTATTGAATATGCTCAGTTCGAGCATGTACGCTATGCACCAAAAATGCTCAATGATAACCACCCATGTCTCATATAATAGTGGGTCCCCTCCCTTCGCAGCTCTTCCATAGTAAAGAAAAATAATGGCCAGCGAACTGATCAAGACAGATGCAAGCCCCCCTTCAACGCATCAAAAACGACAAAAATCAACGCCGAACTGGGAACGCTCCTCGCAACCGTGATCCCGCACCCGCGATACAACCCCCTCACCCCATACGCCCTCCAGATCGCCCTCCCTTCGTCCCAGAACCTGACCTGAGGAGCTGTCGAATTTGCGGCTACGGTCTGCATGCGTGATTTGATGGTGTCTGCCGGGAAGAAGAGGAAGTTGTAGGACATTCCTGCGGAGGCGCCTGCTAGGGCTTGCTGGTAGAGTGGGAGAGGGGCGAGGTCTGGGGAGGATTGCGTTGTGGGGAGGTTTTGGGGGCTGGGGATGGAGGTGGAGGTGGAGGGCGAAGATTGAAGGGTGAGTGGAGTGGATCGCGAGTTCCAATGCCGGAAGAGCTGGGATACGGTTTCCTTCGATCCGAACCAGGCGGCGCATCCTCCTGTTTCCCGGATCAGGGTTCCTAGCTGTCCGTGCCAGAAGCCTCGAAGGCCTTGGTGCCGGAATACTTCTTTGATTACGGCTAGTGGGCGTGGTGCTACTGCTACTGTCCCTGGGGCGGAGGCTGGGACTTGGATTTTGCATTTCACCAGTTCGACGGGTGTGAGTACTAAACTTGTAAATGCACCAGAGATAGCTCCCGTAAGCCATAAAGCGGAGAGTGGAAGAGGTTGTTGGCGGGAGTAGAGGTTGGCTGTGAAGAGGAGTTCTCGACCGACGCGCTCCCAGAAGAATAAAGAGGATGTTTCCAGCGCGGCACCGACGAGAGGGGCGGAGATGCCGCGGTAGAGTCCTAGAAAGCCGTCCGAACGGATGGATTGGCGGAAACAGTCGAGGGGGCCGGTGTACCGTAGGGGAAGGACGTCAGGTTGCGATTGGAGACGCACTTTCACGGTGTCGAAGGGGTATTCGATGTATTTCCCTGCTACGCCAGCGATCTGGGGGCGTGTTAGAGAGGGAAGGGGGAAGTGAGGAAGTTGGGGAGGAGAGAAGTGTGGGGAGGAAAGGTTGGTGAAGTGAGAGAGGGGGGGCGTACGGATCCATATATGACATCTTCTATAGCGTCCATGAGTGCTTCCTTGCTTTTGACTGTAAGAGAAGGAGCGGGAGGGCTTTTGGGAGCGAAGTCTGCGGTTGTTGCTGTCGCCATCTTTCCAAGGTTTTGTAATATGGAGGAGCTTTCTCCGTGATCGGCGGGGTCAAAATGAACGAGGTATGTTCTCTGATGATTTACAGCTTCGTCTCTGCGAACAGCTTGAACACACCCTGCAATGAATCTCCTTTTCACTCGGCTCAACCGTTGGTGGGTGTGTTGGTGTATTTAAACCAGGTACTCAGCACTTCGTTTTATGGTTGCACAACGCCCGCCTTGTGCACGGTAACGAGCAGGAAGAAAACCCCGTGCAACAGGCGTTGGAAGGCGGGGGAGCAAGAAGGCGAGTGCACCTCTTGCCTTGGCTCAAGCCGCCATCGGATTTTGTGTTCCAAGAGTGGAGTGGAATGTGGACAGGGAGAGGGCGAGGTGTCGTTGGAGCCCTTTATCGAGAGTGCTATCGAGGTAACATTTCGAGGGGCGGTCAAGGCAATTTGGTGGGGCGTTTTCGAGGGAAACCACGCATGACACGTATTTCGTGCGTGGTAGTTCGATGTACGAAGAGGGGTAGGTGCTATGTGGGCTGTGTTCGAGCTTTTATTGAGCTGTGGGTGGTGTCATTTCTGACTCCGAGTGAGAAAAAATCACGCACAAAAATATTCTGAAGGCGGCAAAATTGCGGGGCTAGCGCGGAACTCTTTACAGTACGGTTATCAGATTCGAGTCTTTTCTTCGCCGATAAGGGCCAGATCAACGACGACCCCGAATTCTTGTCTTCTACCCGTTCTCACCCCGATCAATACAAGATGTCGGCTGAAGTTGCAATTGTTGTTCCTCAGGGCGTGGCTGCCCAGGGCATGCGCAAGAATGGTAAATCCAACCTGCTGCTATGGAAGTATGCTCAAGTTCTAACAGCACGCCAGGAAAGCAATGGCACGAACCAAAGACCGCATTCCGACCAAAGGCAGGCAATTCATCATTCGAGAAGCGTCAAGAAGAACGTAAGGCCATGGCCGCAGTGAAAGCCAAGGAGAAAGAGATGAAGGATGAGAAGGAGGCTGAGAGACAGGTTAGTAGTGGCTGGGAAAATCAGCGAGCACTGAGAAACTAATTCTGAATTGCAGAGGAGAATACAAGCTATCAAGGATAAGAGGGCTAAGAAAGAGGAGAAGGCTCGTTATGAGAAGCTGGCAGAGACGATGCATAAAAAGCGGGTGGAGAGGTTAAAGAGGAAGGAGAAGCGGAATAAGATGTTGAAGTCATGATTGAGTGGGACATGGATAAGACGATCGATGGCATTTCTGGCGTTTGGCATGGAAAATGGAGTTGGATTTTGGAATGAGGTGTGCAGGAGAGCTGTGGGACAATGCAGCTTTGGCGCAGGACTGCTATACGCAAGCCGGACTTGGAAGAATCTGAAGGCATCGCTCTTACACGGGATGAGAGACTGAGCGGGAATGATCGACATCATGCTCCCTTGCCTTTTTGGACTTGAGAACAAGCTCGAAGATCCCATGTCTGGAGGGGAGGAGCGGGATGGAATGTGATTCTAGGGCTCAACTCACTCTCAGAGCTTAGTAAAGTCACAACACAAGGGAAATACTTCTGCATATACTCGACCTCGATAAACTCAGCGAGAAGGAAAACGGGCTCGGCGTTTTTGAAAATATATGGATCTCCTCCAGATATCCTACACGTGATAAATGCGCTCTGGGCCTTCCCGACCCACCGTACAAGCTCCAACCATTTCAGCCTTGCAACTTCAACATGCACTTCCTCCCAGGCCACGCAAACATGTCCAATCCTTTTCAAGAACCCTCATCCAAGCCCTCCAATGCGACCTCACCAACTCGTCCCAAACACCTCACAACTCGCTCTATCTCAGAAGTCCACCACAAGCATCACCACCCACATCTCCATCATCGTCGAAAAGAGGAGAGTCAATCTGCACACCACAGTCAAGCGGCTTTAGGCTCCTCTGAGGGAACGAGTAGTCGGAGTGAAGGCTTCACTCCAAGTCAGAGTCGGGATGTGAGTCGACGGGGAAGTATTCTTGGGGTGGATATTCCGGAGGGGAATGGGAGGGAGAAGAGGGCTGTTAAGGAGGGCGAGGTTAGGGAGGAGAGGGAGAAGGGTGTTTTGAGGGCTGCGTAAGCCACATACTTCTCACAACCTCACTTCAAGGGAATTGGTCGCTAACGGGCGGGTTCACAGCGAATTGCAGAATGCTTTACTCGATCTCAACACCCTGTCGAACAACACGACTCGTCGCCTGGACAATACCTACTACTCCGTCCTCGAGAAGCTGAGCACCCTACAGAACATAATTGACTCTTTGAAAGAACTTGCGACTATGACCCGGGAACTAAATGACGATTTCAAAGTCGAGTCAGAGGAGGTGGTGGTTGACATCAACACACAACTGGCTCAATTCTCAGGCTTCGACGACCAGCAAGGGCGAATTGAAGCCTTGGCGTCGCGAGTTCAAGCCGGCAGACAAAGAATCAAGACACTTGGAATCCGGGTAGATATTGTTCAGAACCGTGTGACGTGCTGGGAACTCGCGGAGAAAGAGTGGAAGGACAAAACGAGGAAGAGGTTACGTATAATGTGGACTGTTATCTTTGTATTTCTGTTTATCTTTGTTGGGATGATGATTTTCCAGAACTATACACCGGCGAAGACACAAGGTGCGAGTCCCTTTAAGGGCATGAATACCAGTGGATTGCTGGGGAAAATGCCGGGTATGAAGGGGTTGGAGAATGAGACTTGGTCTTTGAAGAGGAAGACGGAGGATAAGTTGGATGAGCTGAGGAATCACAGTCAGGAACCACTGGGGGAAGATCCAAGGCTCAGAATCTTTGATGAGTTATGATTTATGGGAATATGGTTTACGGGTACCAGCAATGTTCCAAGACTCCAAGAACATTGCCTGTGGATGCCAAGAGAGAGAGGGAGAGCAGATAAAAAAGATCCAGGGCTGTTGCCTTGACGAGCTTGAATTTTTGGATACCGTCAAGTTCCAAGTCGGCCAAAAAACAGTAATTGTGGAGACATAGGGCGAGATACTCGGTCAGCTGGCTTGTGAGACCTGGGCGCTAGGGAAGGATATGGACTGGACTTGGCGGGGTCGTATGATTTCAAAGACGGAATCTTTTGGGAAAGGATGAACAGTTCCTTCAAAGGGGCGGAATCTCCATGTACAGCAGTTGAGCATCCATCCTGAGTAGCCAAATCCAGTGCGCCACTTTTGGGGGTTGGGTTGCAAGAGGTTGTTCCAAAGTTATCTCCAACAATAGCACAAGGCGGGTCTTTCGCAGCCGATGACGAGGACGCTCAAGCCACAGCCCACACACATCCCTGTTCCAATCACCACAAGGCACATGCATCCTCGCATCCTGAGACTACCTTGCCCAACCTATATCTTGCGAGCATTTGAAAATAATTGCTGCATCTCTGTGCCCATACGAATAAATATTCCTTTCTTCCTTCTTCCGATTCTCCCCCCCATCGACATTCCCGTCCACTCTTTACCGCGTCACACCCGCCTCTGTTACAGTGGAGGATTCACATACAGTAAGACTGTACCCCGCTAAAGGCGCAATATTGCGCAGCTCGATTCCAAACAGTTACAAGCCACAAAATACCGCCCTGCAAACGCGGGAAATCACTGTGTCAGCAGCATCTCGGCTCCTCTATTGCTTTAAGAAGCTCCTCTCCCTCCTCCAAACAACCCAGAATCCGAAGACCATAACAAGCAGACAAGATGGCACAGCCAAACGGCTCTGCGGTAGCTGGGAACCCCCCCGGAAAGGAAACGCATGGCCAGGTGCTTACGGGCAAGCAGGAGCACTGTAGATCCTTCCCTGACCCTCAAACCAGTTTAGAGAGTGGCATTACTGATGAGACAACAGACCTGAAGCGCGAGCTGATCGCCCAACAAGTCAAGTTCGAGATCACGGAGCTCAACTCCCCAACGGCACTCCAGCGGTTCGGCGCCCCCTTCAAATCCGACTTTGGTGAAGTCAGCCCCCTGGACTCAGACCTACCGATCCTACGGTACATCTTCGTGCATCATGTCAGGGAATTCCCGTTTCTAGATAAGGCGAAGGAGGAGGAGTTTTGGCAGGATAAATTGCAAGTTGTGAGTCTACCTTTCCTGGTGTTAGATGGAGAATTGTTGCTGATTTGGGGAATAGTTCCTACAATCCTTCGCGGAAAAACATATCTCGTCTTCGGAAGATCGACTCGAGGAGACGAAGCGGAGGAAGCTGTCGATAAAATGCCAGAAGTTGGTGGAGCTGATGATGGTTTCGGGGATCCCTACTGCGTCGGGGTATGAAGAGAGGATTCGGTTCTCTGAGCTCGAGGTTGTAGATGCGGGGGCCATTGATCACGGAGTTTTGCAGACGTTGCCCGAGGGGTATTATTCGAATGGTTGGGATGTTAATGTTGCGGGTGTGAGGACGACGAATGTGAAGAGGAATATTAGATACCATAAGCATGCGGTTCGTCTGCTATTGGAAATGGATGGCTGGGGATATACTGACATTGTGGTGTAGGAATTCATCCTCCGGGTGAAGCGAAGGGGGGAGCTCGAATTCTTCGTTGGGAGACGATATGGCGATTTTAGCAGGCTTCACAAGAAGTTACGCACGGAGTTACCAGGGAAAGTTCTCCCTCCTATGCCGAAGAAGAACAAGCAGAGTTCAACGACTTCAAATCTCTTAAGTGCGGTACGGAGAGGGAGTGATTCGGATGCATCGTCGGTATCGTCTGTCTCGACCATGGGGATAGCACCTCCAGTCAACACGTCGATAAACAATCTATCAGTCAGAGGTAAATCGCTCAATTTCCCGACTTGCAAGCTATCCTAACCCCTCCACAGATCACCGGAGAAGCCCTTCGTCAAATTCCTTCGGTGGGAGAGCTTCTCCTCGCTCCTCCATCGATTCACGACAAAATCTTAACCCATCACCTGCGCCTACACCTGCGCCTTCAGATGAGGTGAGAAAGCACGCAGTTATCTACAGATTGGAACTTAGCTGACAACAGAAAGCCCATTATCCTATGGCGCGAGAACCAGAGAATTTCCCTGAGAGCCTTCCTTCGCAACCTGCTGGCAAATCCTCAAATTGCACAAACCAGAGCAATGCAGGACTTCTTGACTCAGTCGCCCATCCAACCGACTGACGCAGATGTGGAAGATATTGCTCGACGAAAGGCGATGGATCAGAAGAGAGTCGAGGAGCAGAAGAGGTTTTATGAAGTTGCGAGAAAGAGAGCTGCGGAGCTTGATGTGTATATGGAACAGTAGGCTTGCGTTTGAGTTACCTGAGATCTTGTACTAACCACTCACAGATTCCGTCGAGACATCGTTGAAAAGAACGGACTTACCATGCTCTTCAAGGAAATCAAGGAAAAGCAAACCATCCAGGATCTCAGCATACAATATCAGAAATTCGCTGAATGGCTACGAATCGAAGTGGCAGCAACAATCTATCATCTATTCCTAGCGGAAGACAACTCACCAGAACTCTTTGCTCAAGCCAAGAAGATCCACTCCATGATTCCATATACCATCATCAAGAACGCCATCCGAATTGCGAACCCAGCAGCGGTCATGTCCAGCATCCTTGATATTTTCCTTGCTCAACCATTTGGGGCGAGATCACTCATGCAGAGGATTTTCTCTCTCACTCTCAACGATGGAATCCGGAGTTTTCAGAAGTCAATCGATGCTCTTTACGAGAAGATTGGAGATCCAGTATTTTGCGACAAGATCAAGCAATTCACAGATGCTTCGGAAGCAATCAAAAATACCGTTCGACAAGAGGCATCTGACGATGATATCGACTTGATTGTTGCAATCCTCAGAACAGAAGAGATCCACCCCCCTCTGAACTCGGAGCAGATTGGCAAGATCTTCAACGCTTATGTAGCCTGGAACAGTGCGGTCGAGAATGTAGATGAGGAGATGAAGCAGGGAGCCCAGCTGTTCTCGTACTTGAAGCAGCTGTTGAAGCTGTATACTAGGCAGCGAGATAAGGCCATGATGTTGAGTATGATTGAGGAGCCCGTCACGCTGCACTTACTTCGAGACCTATTCACCATCTTTTACGAGCCACTTATACGTGTCTACAAGTCAGCAAACGTCTACAACAGCGTCACAGACTTCGCAGTATTCATCGACGACATGATTCAAGTACATTTCCCCTTCTTCCCCCAAATCTCTACTAATGATTGGGACAGGTCGTCGACAAATGCCGCGAGCAAGACGTCTCCGCCGACCCGAACCAGACGGTGCAAGCCTTCATCGACCTGTGCCAGCGCCACGAACACAACTTCTACAAGTTCGTCCACGAGGTGCACACGCACGACAACGGGCTTTTCACGCAACTCATGGGCTGGATAGAGGGGATCCTCGAATTCTTGCGCAAGGGTCCGAAAGCTGGGAAGCTGGACATGAACGCACTATTCTCCGGCGCCGTGTCAGTAGGTCAACTCGACAAGGCAAAGGCTGTTGCTGAAATCGATTCCTTGATCGCATGGCAGGAAGCGAGGAAGAAGTGGCATCAGGACAAAACTCGCCAGAAAATGGCGGCGGAAGGTACAGGAGATGGCCTGGGTCTCAACATCGAGAGTGTACCAGGAGGCATTACCTTCAAGAGCTCCGATTTCGGCTTGAATGAAATGGATCTGCAGGATATCGGGTATGCGGATGACGAGGAGGCGAGCAGTGATGAGGAGGAAGAGGACGACGAGTTGGATCCTATTGACGCGGAGAGGAAGCGGAGAGCCAAGAAGCAGGACCATCTCAGACGGACGGCGGGCGAGCCGGTTAAGCCGGTTGTTACCGAAGTAGATAAGTTGATGGAGAGCTTCTTGAGTATGCTGAGGATGGTGCTTGCTGAGTAGGCCAAAGGGCGAGGCCGCACTCGATAGAAACGAGGAGTACACGGAGGACGAGCAATCGGGGTGATGGGAATTTATGGGAGATTCTCAGGGAAGGCTGCCATGATAGAGTGGGATATCCTTGTGGAATTAACGGCATCTTGGGCTAGGCGGAGGGAGGTCGGGATTCTGGTTGTATAGATGATGCATACGATGCTATCGTGATACACGGTAGCATGTCATGTTAAAGCTAGACTCGCGAGATACGCCACCTTACAGTATGAAAAATGGCATGGGCTTTCTTTCTTGATTCCGTCACCATTCAACCCTTTTTCCTCATTTTTTAAGTTTATTAAAAAATTTCCCACCTTCTCTTTTATATTATACCGCTATACCAAGCCGAGGTTCGAGGCTTCACCTAAGCGTAGGAGATGGCATGTGTTTTCTCGATACGGAGGCAATGTTCTCGTGTCTGGCTTTGCAAAAATTATGATGGACAGACAAATACTTCTTTGCAAATATCGTATTCGTACTAAACACAAATGCATGCTTTGCTCCCCAAGTACCAACTAACGCAGCTATGCTACAGGGCCAAAACCCGCCCCACATCCCATCTCTCTCTCGCCCGTGTCTCCACACCTACTCAACTTTCTTTCAACTTCGCCTTACCCAGGCTCGCCCGCCCCAGCCAACCAAGGAAATACCTCCTTTCTTTTTAGTAGACACGCTTGAAGGGAGGGACAGCCTTGCACTCATTCTCATCCAGCGTGTGGCCGACTACAGCTCTGTAGGAGAGGTCCACCTTGCCATGTGGCTGCTTCTGGAACGTCAGGCTGTGCTTCATCCAGTTCTTGTCGTCTCGGTCGGGGAAGTCTTCTCGGGCGTGAGCACCTCGGGATTCCTTTCTCGCTGCTGCTGCTTCGGCCGTTTGGACACTGATTCATTAGCCACTGCTTCAAAAATAAAAAATAAAAAAACCCCAAAAAATTACGGAGGGATATTCGCTACTTACGCGCAAGTCAACAAGTTCCGTAACTCCAGAGTCTCAACCAAATCTGAGTTCCAGATCATGCTTCGGTCCTTGGTCCCCACATCCTTGAATGTTTGGTCGACCTCTTTGATTTTCCGAACGCCCTCATCCAGTGACTCTTGTGTTCGGAACACGCTGACGTCTGTCTGCATAGTCTTTTGCATAGCGAGCCGGATGTCATGCGTGCTCTTAGGTCCGTCGGCTGTTCGGATCTGGTCGAGGACGCTGATGGAATCGGCTCCTGCGTCGGCACTGATCTCCTTGTGAGGCATGCCAGGCTCGAAGTTGTCACGGACAGTGTGGGAGACGGCACGGCCGAAGACTATTAGATCCAGGAGAGAGTTGGCTCCGAGACGGTTGGCACCGTGGACGGAAACACAAGCAGCCTCACCGCATGCGAAGAGACCTGGAACAACCTTATCCTTGCCCTCGCTGTCAACTGTAAGAACTTCACCGGTGTATTTCGTTGGGATACCACCCATGTTGTAGTGGACAGTTGGCAAGACGGGAATCGGTTGCTTTCGAACATCGACACCGGAGAAGATAGAGGCGGTCTCAGAGATACCAGGGAGACGCTCGTGGAGAACCTCGGCTGGCAAATGGCTGAGCTGAAGGTAGATGTGGTCCTTATCTGGTCCAACACCGCGTCCTTCACGGATTTCCATGGTCATTGATCGGGAGACAACGTCACGACTGGCCAGATCCTTGGCAGTTGGTGCGTATCTTTCCATAAACCGTTCGCCCTCAGAATTCAGGAGATATCCACCCTCACCACGAGCACCCTCGGTAATCAAGCAGCCAGCTCCATAGATACCAGTTGGGTGGAATTGGACGAATTCAAGATCCTGGTTGGGAAGACCCGCACGAGCAACCATAGCCATTCCGTCACCTGTGCAAGTGTGTGCGGATGTACAACTGAAATATGCACGTCCGTAACCGCCGGTAGCCAAGACTGTGTTGTGTGCTCGGAATCGATGTAGAGTACCATCTTCTTGATTGTAGGCAAGAACGCCCTTGCATTCGCCGTCTTCCATAAGCAAATCGAGGGCAAAGTATTCAATGAAGTAGTTTGTGTTGTGTCGAAGAGATTGGCCGTAAAGTGTGTGCAGAAGGGCGTGTCCGGTTCGGTCAGCTGCAGCACAGCATCGATAGGCTTGTCCACCTTTGCCAAAATCCTGCGATTGGCCTCCGAAAGCACGTTGATAACTGATGTAAATGTTAGCATGATCCCCAAACCAGTTCGAGAATCTTACATCTTGCCGTCGTCGGTTCTCGAGAAGGGACAGCCGTAGTTCTCCAGCTCAATGACCGATTGAGGCGCCTCTCTGGTCATGTAATGGATTGCATCCTGGTCTCCAAGCCAATCCGAACCCTTGACCGTATCGTACATGTGCCACCTCCAATCGTCCTTGTGCATGTTTCCCAGAGCAGCATTGATTCCCCCCTGGGCCGCTACCGTGTGACTTCGAGTTGGGAAGAGCTTGGATATGCAGGCAGTGTTGAAACCAGCCTCGGCAAGACCAAAAGCTGCCCGCAGACCCGATCCGCCAGCTCCGACGACAATGGCATCGTACTCGTGATCCTGCAAAGAAGGTCAGAAAGATTGCCTGGCTCCATTGTCCATTGTACCTACAATCACTGGGTACTTTGTGCTCGCGAATAGTGAGGCTTCTTTGGCCCGGAGGGGCGCGTGGTGTGTAATGTAAGTCCTCCTCAATGCTTTTGACAGCATTGGGGACGAGCCCCGATGTACAGATTTAAGCTTGTACATCTTGACGGAGGTGAAATGAAGAAAGACGAAGAGTTGATACTGCGCGGAGGCAATCCAAAATCGTGAGGTGTGAAATAGTTGATGTCGTCCACCAAAATGCTCTAGCAATTGAGCCAATCACAGCGGTGTTCTTGTTGCTGACAAGCTCCGGCCCATTTTCTGCCGACCGAGGAGCCGAGAGAGGGTGCCATCACGTGCATCTCGGAAAAACACGGCAGTCGTGAAGTCTGGACTGAGAGCTGTCTCCTTTCATCTGATCTTTCGCCTTCGATAGCAACAGCAGCGGGGACCGATGCCCGATGATATTTCCGTCCCGTTGTCCTTACGTCCTATCTTATCTGTCTTTCTGGATCTAAGGTTATATGTTTTAGCAAAGTCACTCAGATGTACTGTAATCTCGCAACACTGGGAGGCACGCGTGAACCTCCATGCGGCAGGATCAACATTAGCGTGGACCCCCAAAGCGACCATTCTTTCAATTACCGTTTCTCATATATACTTCCTGCTTTGGAAATTCCACTGGAGAGTTACAAATCTCTACGGATTCAATTGAGCGTGGTATGATATTGCAATGATTGGTGGATCCGGACAGCGTAACAAAACACACTTCGGACCCACCATCGAAAGCTCCTCGATATCCTTTGGCGTGGACATTGCTTACGTTCAATCTTCACGGCATTATAGGGAAAGTTTCCTCGTTCCGAGTGACTTGACAGTACCTCCTGTCCTGGATGACGGATCTTTTCTTTCATCCGCAGAGCTGCGCCGTATTCCTTCATGTATACCCCATGTATCCCATTGCAGGCAATTGAACTCGAGTGAGACGACCCCGGACCCCCGTGCTTTGTTTGGTTCCGAATTGATTGTACGCGATGTTACAATGCCTCATGTTCGTTCCATTCAGGCCCTGGATATCGCCCAGGTTCAGCCTTCGGAAAACAATTTCGCGAAATGCGGAGACTCTTTGCCGCAGAGATTGTTTCCACATATATTATCTGTTCACGTACATCTACCGTCACGCTTCATATCGGCGGGAAGGCTGGCCGCAACACACTCATTCGGATCGCTTAAAACCAAACGGGTAATTTCTTTTCTCCAAAAGTTCATCGACCCCAGTCCCTGACCTAGTAGAATGCACTTTGCTCTGTTCCCCACATTGGTTCCTTACTGTTTCTTCTTGGGAGAATTCTATATCCTCCTTCCAATGGCGGGGTACACGAAATCACCAGGCCGCTGGTTCTTGCAGAGTGGCAAATATAAGGTCATGAACCATCCGCCTTAACAGAAATTTTGTCGAGGCTTGCGTTTATCTGGATCTCATCTGCTAGCGCAGTTCGCTGTCAAGATGAAGTCGAATATTATTTTGAGCAGCGCTCTGGGCGTTGCCTCGTTTTGTAAGTCATGGCACTCATTCTCAATTTGCCAATACTGACCAATGAGCAGTTGGGAATGCAGTTTTGGCGCAGGATTATGCGACTCACGGCATGTACACCGAGCCGACTACCGGAATCTCTTTCTATACCAGCATGGAGGCCGATGGGGCATCCACCGGCAGTTTTACGACCACCACCCTAGGAGGGTTCACATTTGGTATGGCCTTGCCAGGTAATGCTGCGACTGTCGATTCGTACGAGTACATCGGTCTCATTGTATGTATCTACTGAGTTTTGAGGCGAAGAAAACGCAGCTGAGAATATTTTAGATTGGCTCCCTGATCAATGGGACAGGATGGTCCGGCCTCGTTCACGGTGACAACACGGGTGCGGGCATGCCCAACCACCTGATGCTCTTAGCTTGGCCGACGGGAGTTGGAAACACAATCGCAAGTTCCCTCAGATACTCAGTGTAGGTTTTCCATGGCAGATCTATCAATGACTCATCTGACAATGTTTTCAAGATCATACCAGGCGCCAGTGGATTATAAAGGAAGTGCTAAAATTACACCAATCTACTCGAAGGTCAACGCAACCAGCTACACACTCATCTATCGATGTGAGAACTGTCTCATCTTTGATGATCCAACTCAACCAAGCTTCAACACGTCAACAAGTCAAGCAACCTTCGAGTGGGGCTGGGCTCAGTCCTCTGTCTCCCCTGCTGACAAGACCAACCCTGACTCCAGTATTGGCCAGCACAACAATGGAATGGGCGAATTCCAGATCATAGTCTCCAAAGCCGCGAATGCTGCATACGCGAAGTGGGTAGGACTGTCCTCTACAGTTCCAACCTCATCGGCAGCTGCCCCTACTGGCAATCCTACCGCTACCGGTGCTCCAACCACAGTCGCCGCTCCCACTACCACCGCTTCGGCTACCCCCACCACATTCAAAGCTGTCCCAGTCCCAGCTGCGACTAGCTATGATTATGTTGTCGTTGGTGGTGGAGCTGCTGGAATTCCAATGGCAGATAGGCTCTCTGCTGCGGGCCACAGCGTCCTGCTTATTGAGAAGGGAGTTGCCTCCTCAGCTAGATGGGGCGGAAGTGGGTTTAATGTCAGATCTCTTCGGACGGAAACTAACATCATTAATAGCCTATCGACCTGAAAGTGGATGGTTGGATGGTTACAACCTGACGTGGTTCGACATTCCTGGAGAATGTAATAGAATCTGGAATGGAGGATCCCCAGGTGTTGCTTGCACCGACTTGGACCAGATGGCGGGATGCATTCTAGGAGGAGGAACTGCTGTCAATGCAGGTCTTTGGTGGAAGGCGAGGTTTAAGCCCTGAAATTCTAGTATTCAACTAACTTCTGACCAGCCCAACCCTCCTGACTGGGACTACAATTTTCCAGATGGATGGAAATCCGAAGATATGCAGTTTGCTACCGAGCGAGTCTTCTCGAGAATCCCAGGAACTGATCATCCCTCCATGGATGGAAAGCTTTACATCCAATCTGGCTTCGACATCGTCAGACAGGGACTCGCCGCTGCCAATTGGACCAGCGTCACAGCTAACGATGTTCCTTGCAAAAAGGACAAGACATATGCGCATACTGAGTACATGTACATCAACGGTGAACGTGGAGGCCCAATGGCAACATACCTGGTCTCCGCTAACGGCAGAAACAACTTCCACCTCTGGCTAAATACCAGTGTTGAGAGAATCAACCGCATCGGTGGTCATGCAACGAGTCTCGATGTCATTGCAACCAACGATGGAGGACATGTTGGTACGGTGAAGTTGACCAACACTACAGGCCGAGTCATCCTGGCCGCCGGTACCTTTGGCACTCCAAAGATCCTGTTCAGAAGTGGCATCGGTCCAGATGACATGCTCCAGCAAGTTCAACAAAGCCCCGATGGCCCAACCTTCATCAAATCCACCGACTGGATCAATCTGCCCGTCGGCTACAATCTCGCTGACCATCTTAACACCGACTGCGTCATCTCACATCCCAACATATCCTACTACGACTGGCCAGCAGCATGGGACACCCCAATTGAGGCCGACAAGGTAAGCTACCTGAAGAACCGAACTGGTCCTTTCGCTCAAGCCGCACCCAACATCGGGCCCATGATGTGGGAAGTGATCAAAGGCCCCGACGGAATCGACAGACAAATGCAATGGACTTCCCGCGTCGAAGGCTCCAACGGTGTACCAAACGGCAACTCCATGACCCTCTCCCTCTACCTAGGACGTGGCTCTGTCTCCCGTGGCCGCACCACCATCGGCAAGTCGTTGAACATGGTAGTCAACACACTTCCATACGGCGACCCCAACGATCTGACAGCGGTCGGATGGGCTATCGACAATATGGTCAACGCGTTGAAGACCATCCCGAACATCACCTGGAACCTCCCACCACCAGGCGTCTCAGGCGCCGATTACTTGAAATCCGTAAATGAGCTCTCCCTCTCTCTTTCTCTCCGCTGCCTCCCCTTCCCTCCATCCCCGATTCTTCGACAAGAGCTGACTAGAATAGATCCCATTAACCTACGCCAACGTCGGCGCCCGGCGCGCAAACCACTGGATGGGCACCTGCAAACTCGGCACCGACGACGGGCGTCTACCAGACGGGACCGCAGTAGTCGACACCAACACCAAGATCTACGGCACGGACAACATGTTCGTCGTCGACGCCTCCATTTGGCCAGGGATGCCATCCACGAACCCCTCCGCTCTCATCGTCACCGCTTCCGAGCGCGCTTCCGAACTAATCCTCGCACTGCCATGTCCAAAGAAGATTGGCGGTGTCGTGAAGAAAAGAGGTCAGTTTTATAGTAATAGTGGTGGGGTAAGTGGACGGTTTGGTTGGTGGAATTGGGGTGGCAGAGGGAATAGCTTCACGTGCGATGGAGGGTTGACGTGCAAGGCCGTCAACTACTTTTATCCCGTCGCACGTCGGCAAGGATTCCTCGGGCATCATGCTGGGCTTTCGGGCCAAACCTACCTACCCCTTTCTTCCCCTCCCTTTCCGAGCCCTTGCTTCCCCTTCTTTCGTTAAAAGAAAGGTGGCTGACCTAAAGTAGTGTATGTGAACGAGAACAAAGATGGGAATGATACATAATCGAATCGCCAAGTCGAGATTGGGCAGATCATGCCGGAGGGGCAGAGAATCAGGGGAAAGGGGAAGTGAAGGGGAAAGAGGAGAGGGGACATTAAAAATCGAATTTGTACATACATTCTCTTCTTTTGGTTGAGATATCGAAGAAAAGTAGCTTCCACTTGCCTATCTTCTGAGCATGGACGATCTCACTAGAATTAATTCATCTCATCGCCCCGAAAATTGGCGAGTTGGGACAGGAACATCGCACCCACATCCAGCCACTGTATAAATCTTCCGGCCTAACCAATTGACAGACGATCCAACGTTCCCAGGATTTCATTGCCGAGGCCGAATGGAATGTTCCATGCAATGATGCAAGCCAACAAACAGCGCGTCGGTCGGATCTGAAGTCCGAGAAGCCATTCAGCCGCATGGCTGAAGCCACCCACGACCGCGGTGGAAAGGGTCGGGACGACTGCCCGAGAACGAAAGGAGCAGCAGATCATTGTCTAGATAGAAAGTAAGATTTTGGTTGATTGAGCTACGAGTATATGGAGCACAATTTATCCACCTCTCGCACAAGCATGTTGGCTGAACCCGTGATGGGATTAAGGTTGCGGTAATTTAAAAAAAAAACAGGGTTGTTTTATATTATTCTGGGAATAACAAACGGGGGGGGTTGGATTTCCAGTGGGGTTTTAATTTGTATAGTAATCACGTGTGTATAACTAATTAGGAAGAAATCAATGAAAACACCAAATTTCTTATCCACTATCGTTTGCAATTAATTCATCCCGGTAGTAGCACTGGGCTCGTCGTAATTTGAATTCAGCTTGAGTAAGCGTCCTTTTATGTTCTTTTCGGCCTATGGTATCGATTAAATTAGTGGTATTAATGATTAGCTATATTAAGTGAGTAGTATAAGAAATAATAATTGTTTGCTCTAGGAGAAGTTTGTTATCAAGCCAGCCTAATTAGGCGAGTAAGTCACACTCTGTAAACACGTGAAATTATAAAACTCCTTTTTTCTATATATACAAACAATAAAACATGATACAAACCTGGCCTGGTTTTTTTTAATAGAAACCGTTTTTTACGCACCCCTAGATGGGAAGATGTTCAACGGCCCTTGCATTTAACAATATAGGTGGTATTAAAAATACCAAGAGAGGGGTCGAGGAGGTTCTCCAGTCTTATATTTCCGGGATGAACTGCGCGGGGAAGACGACTCTCTCGAGACGAGGGATGTCGGTTACACAAATGACAGCTCATATTAAGTACACTTGGTCAGATTTTTAAGAGAAATGCAAAAGCAGGGCTCAATTATGCAGGTGTGCTTCAATTGGATTTAGTCCCACTAATCGGATCCTCTATCAGATCCCACATTATCCACGAAAGGAATCCAGATTTTCCGTCCAAGGTTTCCAAATCCAATTTATGCACAGTACAATCTTGTGGTCGTTCCGAATCTGTCATTCATTATGCATCCTCGTCGTCCCCCCGCCCAAAAGGAATTGGTCCAATATCCAGACTCCAAATGCCAAGACAGGACAGTTTTTAAAAGAAAGAGCACAACAATAGGTTCTTTCTAACTCCATAAAAGGTCTTCATCAATGCAAGTTTCTCGCGAGAATCGAACCATATTGGAAAAGTCATGAGAACATGCTGTCGTCCGATTTGGAGACGAAATTGAAAAGGGCAGCTCGAAGTGACCACACGCACAATAAGGCCTCATCATCGACTCTTTTACTAATGAAATAGAGGGGATAGACCGCTTTTCCAGGCACTTCAGAACACCAGGCAAGTCGAATTTCTCCGACGTCCATGTGTCTTCCTCGCATTGCCGACGGTGAGTCAGTAGCTCTGTTTGCGCAGCCGCCCATAAATGGCCAAGCGTTTTATCTTTCCGGAAGACTTTTTCCGGTCTGAAGTCCTCATGGTGAGTGCAGCTGAGTGAAAATCCAGGGTCAGTCCTACTATCCTCCCCTTCGTCGGAGGATCTTCTTCCTGTGAAATCCTTAGATTCGTTTTGATTGTCGAAGTCAAGAGGAAAGCCATCGTGTATTTCTTTTGCGAGCCGAAGTATGTGGCACAAGATCTTCCAGCCAGTCTTCGTAATTTCAGGCCACGCGTCTCCGGACTCCCGTAGGAGGCCTTCAGCAAACTCAGCAGGGGTAAATCTTGGTGGCTGCAGGTGTCTCTTTCCGCAACACCAAGCAACATAGGCAGAGATATATTTGAGGTCTGGCGAGGATCGATTTCGCACGTTAGAAGTTTGAGCAAACAAGAAATCGCTCCGAAAAGATCCTCATCCTCGTGGGTAGCTGTCGCAAGATAGAAGGACGTCATTACAAGTGAATGTAACGATGAGAGCTGCAATTTAGCGCCACAGTAAGAGCAGTGGTTAAGAAAGAGACCACTCGGCGCTCCGAGCTTAATCCCCAAGTTATCTATCTCCGTAATGCAATGACATACAGCTTGAGCCGAGGTGTGGCAGAAGTTGTGCTTCCACTTTGATGGAATAGCAGACTTGCCGCTCAGTAGTAACTGTTGATAGCACGGAGAGTCTGCATCCCAGCGTCCGCATATGTCGGTCTCCTGTCCAGGAAATGTATGGTTCCTCTCCAGAGCGTGGTCTACCGTACCGGGCGAAGTAGATGTGTGGTTTCTAAGAATTGTGATCATGAGGGTGTCCAGGAGAGTATGACCAAGATCATTGCTATCAGCCTCCTTGTCCCAACGCCATTGACCTGGTGAGTGTATAAATAGAATGGCGACTATAAGACAGCAAGTTTTGGAGCCGTCAAGATAGCTTGTTGCAAGGTGAAAGGGATACAGGTTTGAAGTGACGAGATTTGCTTCCCTCGCCTTCTGAAGAAGATCATAAAGAAGAGAGGCGTTGCGACCCATGATACTGAATCCAATTGCTTCCTCGAGTAGTTCGTTTGGGGAACTCTTGACCGCTTTGACAATAGCGGGTACTGACAGCGGCACCTGGCTCAAGTTTATACTACTGAAATCGTTACTCTCAAGAGTTTCTTTCAGTCTCTCTTCGAAAGTAGGAGCCTTCTGTGACTCTTGCCAGCCACCTCCATCAAATTCGCTTTTAGATGAACTCTCTGACATATAGTGGGAATCGCTAGCAGTGCAGTACTCCGTATGAACACTCCAGCGACAGAACTGAAAGGGGTCTGCAACATCAGTGGACCCAACGTCGTGGCTCTCTGGAAAATTTGTACTCTGACCTTGTGTTCCTGATTCCGGTGGGCCTGGTAATCTTGCAGCTGAATCTATAGAAGATGACTTCCGGTCAGGGAATCTCAAGTTGGTCGCATTCCGGGTTTGTGGCCCACGTCCCCAGTTCTTCGCTGTAGTAAAGCCAAAGAGCCAGAATCCATAAAGCCAAATTGACATAGTACTGGCAAAGTAGGTATTAGGTCTCACCGTATCTAAAAATTGCGCCTTTTTGACGACTTACCTTGCTTCCGTCTTATTCATCGATTTTAGAAGTTCATTGTGTCTTCCTTGCAGAAACATGCTGGCTCGCTCCATAACACCAATGGACGCCAGGGCAGCAGATAGTTGAACCGGCAATGATACTTCGTGTAGGGGATCTACTAATTCTGGAGGAGTGTGGATATGAAAGTCTTTGGGCACGGAAATTTGTGCTCCCAACGACGAGGGGCTGTTGGCACGATCGAAATGTTGCAGGGGTAGAAAACCCCGAGGAATATTCCATTTTAAGAGTCTAATCATGATTGTCAGCATCCGGTTAGGGTTCAGATGAACAAAGTGGAAATCTCACATTCCGTTAGTTGACGCGAAAAAGCTTGGTAGGAGCGACAATTTGGCATGGCCAGCAATCTTTAGGCCCTTCACCATTCCTTTAGCCTCCCGTTGAAGTTTCCGTGATTCGACTGGTCTCCCTTTGTATGTGGCCAGCATACCCTTCCCAAGTTTTGCCCTATCTCGGCCAATGTGAACGAGCTCTCTTTTGTCCGTGGAACGTATGTTTTTTCTTGGGCCCCACCACTTTTTGAAGTGATTCTTGTATTGATGTTCGCTTTGACCGTTTAGGTAAGCCGCATTGTCATGTATTCCACCAGTTTAGTTGGGCACTTACACAGCATCGAAACCGTGCTTCTCCTTCATAATCCTAACAAGGTCGCGGAGGGGAACATTCTCGGTGATGTATAGTCGCTCAATTTCAGGTTTGAGAACATTCCACTTCTGATTAAAGGGAATTCTTTCTGCATTTTCCGGAATTGAAAGGCGTTGTTGTCCTACCGTTGAGGATGCGATCGAAGTCGGAATAGAGGAAATGTCTGTGCTCGTGGTATTTTCCGCAGGCGTGGGCGGTTCCCCGATGTCATCACTTTCTTCGTCGACGATGTCGAGGTTTTGCAAAGACTTAGACACCCAATCTTCATCGTCCCCAACGAACTCACCCAACCAATATTCATCTGCTGGCCCCAGATCCATTGGACAGAAGATTGGAACAGGACGAGTATGAGCTCGAGCGAATATCGAATCTCTCTGTGGCAAGTTGATGTGCAGAAATAATCTTAGTTTGGTAGATGTGTGCTGTCGAACCGAGATATGAATATACAGGAATACCTCGCACTGCTGGAAAGGAAACGACGCCTGAGGGCTGAAAACAGGCCGCGATCACTATTGGCTCGCTTCAGAATCAGGTGTCCTTGCCGTTGAACAAAAGTGTAACTCCCAATTAAAACCCTGCAAACTCGCCACTTGTTGAACCCTGGCCCGTATGTCTCAGGCGTTTTCGCTTCCAGAATAACAACCGATGATTGGCAGTTCTCCTTTTGTTGCCAGGTTTTCGACCCATCTCGCTTCACTCATCGCTCCTGCACACCCCATGGTCGTAGGCTTGCAGAGTTAGCCACTAGAATACTTCGATAGCATGAAAACAAAAGGATACCAACCAACCAACTCTATTTTGCAAAAGTAGACTGTCCACTTATATGTTTCGGATAGGCCGATGGAGGGGAGAGTGCTCGAGAGTGTCCAAGGCACGAACCTAGAAGCAAAATCAAGTCCATTTTATAACATTCCAACTCGGCCACTGCTTGACGGCCTTAGATATCATCTGCATTCCTGCAAAGCTTTCAAAGCTTGGTAGCTGCTTTGCTGAAAGCACTTCAGGCCCTCAATCACCAAAGTTCTTAATCGTGTTACCACATTCGCTAAATCCACCACCAGAAGAACACCACGCAGACCATCTTCCATCTCCCAACTCTAAATTTCCTTCCATCGAAGCTACACACTCTGGCCATTAATCCACTACATTTGCAAACGAGGTTCAGCAAAAAATGCCATCCAAGTCAAGCACCATAAAAGGCAAATCCTCGCCAGCGACTTGCAAAGACGACATGACAAAAACGGTCGGAATTTCAAACAACACACCGTACTGTCCGTACCATAGCCCAATTCTCCGTCTCGAAGTCAGCATTGTCAGTGGGCATGGACAGACCCCGATGGAGCGTTTTCTCGCTGAGCATCCATCCGAGCAGCCATCGTTTTTCCTTCGAGATGATACGGGCAAGATATCCACCTGGAAGGAATGTTTGTGTAGAGCCATTATGGAAGCGGACAAGAGAGAGGTAGCCGAGGGAGGGGAATAACGGAAGAGAGCGTAATGGTTCAGGATGGCATAAATTGACTTGGGAGAATGGAGATAGACTGAAGACTTTCCACATGTTTACTCCATTTGTGTAGCGGCACGGCTACTTCTCCTTACTTCTATAACAGTGGAGAAAAAGAAGAAGAAAAGTTCATCCATCGCTCAAACAGCAAAAACTTCAAATTGCGGAGAGTACACATCATAACTCCATCCATTGGACTATCCTAGCCATTAAGAAATTAGTGCACGCACAACAAGTACTCCCCTAAATATGCAGAGTAGAGATACGCTAACCATCCCATAAAAATTCATACCGTGTAAATAAAAGGCTCTCCAACAAATCCAGTATCACAGTTTAGATTTGCGTTAACTGCCAAGAACATCAAACTTGGAGATCCAAATCAAACTCGATAAAATCGCTACTCCAAACGTAAATACCGTGACCTCTAAGTATGCGCAAGAATACCAATTTACTCTTACTAAATGTATAGCCCTGGGCCGCGATCAACAACGGCAAAGTTTGCATAACCTATTTCATGCATCTATATTTAGAACACCTTGATGCCGAGCAGAGACCAGAATCAGGGATCTAGTTCTTGTCCTTCGCAACTCGACGGGGATCACGGCATAAAGTGATGGGACTACGAAGCATTTGTACTACAACTCCACTTTCAGGCCACTTTCTAATCGGTTCAACTACTAAAGCCCTTATATTTCTAGACCACTGCCCTGAAAGAACTTTGTATGCCATAAGCAAGGGGTACTATACCTTTTAAGGCATATTCCCTGTGCTTACAGGGAGGATTCGCTAAGGTAGCCATTACCGCCCTCACAGTGTCCAAGCCTAAAGTAGTTGCTCCGCCAGCAGCGCCATAACCCTGCAAATGTTAGCTTTTGGATGCTAGCTTTTACCCTTTCTAACTACCTTTATAGCGCTTCTTAAAGCACGATATTTTAATTATTATATGAATATCGCGCTTCTCATGCAATTTTTATTATGAATTCTTTCTTAGTTACAAAGCTATAGTAAAGTAATTGATTAATTAATTACTTTCGCCTTAGGAGAGGAATAAATATTAGACTACAATACCATAATCACAGGAGTAATCACTAAAGAAATAAGCCTTAAGATTTAAGATCACCGGAGATTACTCTGAAACTTCCTTAATTACGATGGTGATTGAGTTTTTGCATTTTGCGAAACACTTTTAAATTATTAAAAGCTAGCTTCCAATATCGAGTATTGAACGCTATAGTCCACTGAGCGCTAAGCGAGTCTAAATGCCCTGTAGTCCCGTCGCTTCATGCCGTGATCTGCTAATGCCTCGCGACTTGGCTATACGGACTAGCATGGGTGCGTCTTGGTCAACGCACGAGTTGTGGACAATGAGATCCACGCCTCGTATGTTTGCCGTGCATATGTTACTTAGCAGATGGGTCAAATGAAACTGTGTTGCGGACGTTTCGAGCTGTACTTCAAATGGGTCCAAAGTTGGCTCTTGCAATGGATGAAGATTCCCCTGGGGTGTTGTTGCCATCAAAAGATATGATGCTGATCAACGATGGTGCGTTAGCTGAGTGCAATTGTGAATCATTATGGAAGAAGAGAGTAATCTCTTATTACATATTTAAGAGCCTCTCTTTCTTCGATGCCGAGAAATCCGCTCACGTCTAGACTGCCCACAAATTCCATCCGTTTTTTCTACGCTGCAAGCTAGAGCTAGGGCAACCACTTGATGGATGGCACATTAGAATGCTGCAAACTGGTCAAAATGTCTCGGATCGAGGTGGAGCCGAAGAGGAGGGACATTCTGGTAACAGAAGCAGCCGAGACTCTCTGTGGCTTAATTCCTTCATAGTTACCCTCCACAGATTAGCTCCACCCAAAACTCCTCCCATTGGACAGTCGATCCTTTCGCCTTTACGTATCAGCGTGGGATCGACGTTCGGAAAATTTATAAGCATGCATACTTAGCCCTGCCTGCCAAGCCCCCACCCCCGCAGTACTTTTGCTGTCAGAACCCCGTCAAAAATCCCGTCGTGACGGAGTTAAGTTAGGTTCCTCATCCGCATTACTGTGTACCCCGAAGCCGTTCCGAAGTCAAACTCCGTTCCTACAAGTCACTGCCGACACTCGATACCACCAACTAAATGAATCAAAAGAATCTCGTCCAATATCGTAACGACACAAACCCGAAGCCCGGGGCTTCAGTGCTCGATCGGAGCCCAGATGATAAGCAGCCTCGAAAGCCGGTCCGAAAGCGCCAACGAATCCCATCTGCATGCGAACCATGTCGACAGCGCAAGACAAGGTGCGATGGCAGCAGGCCAGTCTGCAGCCTCTGCCTTCGCCGATCGTCAAGTAACTGTGTTTACCGAAGAGAATCGAGAGATGAAACAAGGGACCTGTCAGGAGTGCAAGTAATTGTGCACGAAAACTTGGGTAATGGCTAACGTGAAGTGAAAGGGCACCACCAATAACGGACTCAACTGGTAGTAACTGGGGAGTCCCGTCAATTTCAGGAGAAAGACATTCGGATAATGCAACTCATTTGCCATCAGAATCACGGGTTCGGGGCACTAACACTACATCTGCATCCAGGATTAGTCAACCCAATCGACTGGAATCCTTGACAGTGACCTCTTACCTCGACAGTCGGAAACCTTCTCCGTCAAATGAGTTCTACGGCAGTTCAACAACGGCCAAGTTGATGCACCAAGTGCAAGGGAGTGCGAATCCCACCACCGGGAGTTCAAAGCATACTCCTGGATTAATAGGAGGACCACCACCCGGAAAGAGTCCTACGACAGCAACAAGCGGCAACTTTGCTTCAATGGACACTGAGCATTTACAACATTTAGCTCTCCCGACACGTGATTTGGCTGACATGCTCTTAGACACATATTGGTCAAAGGTCTATCCGGTCTCTCCAATCGTTTACAAGCCCGCTTTTGCAGCTGCTGTAGAAGATTTATGGAAGCCGAGAAAAGAACTGCGCAACTCGATAGGAGACCTCGATCTTGGAATAGGTTCATACGGTGTTTCAGACTCTCGGACCACTCTATTTCACTGTGCACTGAATGCCATTTTTGCATGGAGTTGCCAATTCGCGGGTCCTACGCTATCCAGAGAAGAACGTGAATCTCTGGCACAAACTTTCTTTCTTCGTTCCAAAAAGCTTCTCGCTATCAACCTATTCGATAATGGCAGTGTGGCACATGTGCAGACTCTTTTGCTCTTTGCGCAGTGTATTCCCAGCACGCTGTTTCCCAGTGCATGTTGGAACGTCATTGGTCTAGCGTGCAGAACTGCTCAAGGCATAGGCTTGCATGTAGAAAGATCTCCCGCCCACAGATCACCTCGTGGACTTGAAGTCAGGAGACGTGTGTGGTATGCTTGCATGATCATGGATACGTAAGTGCTCTTACTATTTTTTTAATCAAGATCTATCATATTGAACACTCATTATAGCTCGTACAGCATGGTACTTGGGCGTCCAACGATGGCTTCCTACCAAATTACCATCCCTTTACCAACAACTACTGAAGACGATGTAATCTTTGATATCCAAAATGTACTGGAAAACTCTTTCCAACCGTCCCATATTAACTTCATGGCGGAAATTGCTAAGCTTTATGTTACACTGGGAAAGGTATTGTCGAATATATACAAGCCTGGGCCTGTTGCCGCCAAGGACAATGCAAGCAAGGAAGGGAAGAGTGAGAGTTTGAACGCCGTTGTGGCATTGGACGAAGATATATCCAATTGGGAAGACAACATGCCATCGTGGTTACATTGGGAAAGAGGAATAGACACTCGGGATGGGTTACCTGAATCTCAGCAGTTGCTGCTTTCTAAACAGTCAAATCTCTTGCACGCCAGGTCAGTAAATCTTGCCGCATTAGTATCAGCGAGTCATTCCTAAGTCAAAAAGATATCTCTCCGTCCGAATCGCCTTACACCGGCCAACATTCCTACGCTTTTGCCAAAGGCTGGGTTCCGCAGCTCAGAAGAATCCGTCTACCTCCCAAACTTCACCCGGAAAAAATACAGAGCCATTCCGGGATTTCCGCTCTTCGATGAGTATACAATCTTCTGTAGCTTGTATTACAGCAGCAATTGATCTCGTCAACCTATCTCACGAATCTACTCGAAAAAATGCCGATACCTCCTGGTGGTTCGCCATGCATTGTAAGTAAATGCTTGTCCTATTATCTCTCTACTTGTGCTAGCTCGGCTTTGACAAACCTACAGACATAATTAATGCCGCAACAATACTCATCCTAGCTGAATCATGTCCACCTATGCACTATTATTTCGACTACACAGAAGCACACAGTTCTTGGCTCCTCTGCTGTGACACATTACGGCTGCTCGCCGAGGCTGGACATCCATCAGATAATGTTCTGAATGGCCTATACGCAATGCGTCAGCAGTTAGTCCAAAGTAAGTCCCCAAACTTGTCGGAGGCTCTCGTAGACTATCATGAAAGGCTAAAATCTAATTTCCGGCGCATGGAAGGCCAGCTTCCGACGACACGATCAAACGCCACCCAAGATCAGACTCTGGAGATTGGTACAGAAGAAACACCAATAGCACAGGACTGCGGTTCCACTCACCTTCAGCAACAAAGCTTAAGTCTACCTGCAGGTCAGGAACAAGATAGCTCAGGCTTCCAAGCAGGTCCTGGGGTTGAAAACTCGAGCGACCCCTCGACGCAGCCATTCATAGATTTCATGATGCAGGACACGGATTTGATGGCACTTGGGTTCTTTGATCAGAGCTGGTTAGGTTCTCCACATGTTGATCCGGATGTAGGATTCGATGGGCCGATACCAATGTCCGTAGATTTTGAGCACGACGCTGCTTTATGAATTTATCCTACATTATTACTCAGCTAGTTTGACTCTCTACCCAAGACTTAACTGTATCTGTATTTTCCTAGCTGTGCTTACGTAGCTTGACCCCAAATCAACCGAATTACTCGCCCAGTCCCCTGAAAAACGATTTCGCTTCAAACATGTTACATTTGGAATACTTCGAGATATCTGAATAGCCACTTAATTTGCACTGTTAACGACCCGAATAATAGTGGGTCGATGATTTTAGGGCTTCACTTAAACTTCAGTCAAATCGAGTTGATTCGTAGGAAGTGATTTATTTCATTTTTTTAAGTGTTTTGAGTGAACTACCAGAACCGTGCGAAATAAACGAATACAGGGTTTTGCCAAGATGAAAATGCTTTTATCATGACCCTCCGCATTCAAACAAATGGATATGAGAGAGTGGGAGACTAGGTTCTGAATCTCAGCCATACTCAATTCCACGTAGTTTTCGTCCGAATCTTCATCCGCTTCCTCCAACTTGTCTCAATCCATTCTCTCAAGGAGTCTAAGGCTTCAACCCTTCCATGCACATTTCCTCCACCGCCTGTTTGATTCGCCCTACCTGCAGGCACAAGTTGTCATACTTTGTACGGAGCTCTTCTAGCTCTAGTTCCAGCGTCCGCATGTAGTCCGCCTGACGCTGCCGAAAAGCTTTTTGCGAGGCGCGATTCTGGACACGTCGCTGTAAGGAGTTAGAAACCAACTACAAAACTGGGAAGACTATCTATAGAGAGGATGAAAGAGTTCTCATGCGCTACTTTTTCAATTCTTGGGGAAGGTAGATCAACATTGACCGAAATCGATTCCGGGTAATTCTTGGTTGTCTCTTTTGTGAAATCTGTATTCGGTAGAGTGTGGAAGTCTACTGGTAGCTCGAATGATTGAGTTGGAGTGCTTGTCCAGCTTGGTTCATTCATATCAATCCAGCCTGTGAAAGGTGGACCATGGTCAAGACATGATTGGCTGTGGTAATAGATTCCGGGAAGGTTGGCTGGAAATGATTGCTGGGCTTCCATAGCTGTTGTGTAGTTAGGAGAATCCGACAATTCTCTCTCTTTAGAGGTTAAGCAAAAAGTCTTGGCACATCATTCAATATGTAAACTCATCGAGCTTCCTTCACAGCACTGGATAGTTGAGTTTATAGATTAGATCTTACAATCGTCTACTACAAAGAACTCCGCGGTGGAGAAACGGTGACAGTCTCCGCTCCGTGGAGATGGCGAAATTATGCGACCCAACCTGCCGTATCCAACGCGGAGCACATCTCATCTATGGTCGTAAATCGGAATCCTTCCCGAACAAATGACGACGAGGCACATTCGTACCTAATAATAGTGAAGGACACTTGGCAAAGTGCCATCGCTAAGGCGATCTGACCAGGATTAATTCAGCCCCTCCACCCCGGGGATAACATTTGCGCAGGTTGCACTTGGTATTGAAGACGGCCCCTTTTCTCCAACAAAGGTCTTTATAGTGAAATCCAATTGATTATCGAGTAGGGCTTAGTGTGATACCTTCGACCCTTTATAACACATTTGTGTAATGTTACCATTCCTTGAAGTGCTCTGAATGCAAGAAATGCACGTTCTCGCGTATCGAGGTATGATAGGGGGCAAGCAGAACGAGATAAGCCGCTTAGCTGCACATAAGCAGTGTGAGGTCAGTGGCGCTGCTGCCTTCGCGCAGGCTGACAACCCTCCTACAATTCTGGTTTGTTACGTGCTTTTTCTATTCCTTCTTAAATTTTATGACTAAGTTAATCTTATCAATTGGTGAATCATACATCCTCCCTCAAGTTGAAGTCCGGTCTACCACGTGCTCTATGTCCGAATCACCTCCTCCGTCTTCAACGCAGCCGTCCCTACACGTCATCCGCACTCATTCCGCTTCAATCAGCACTTTTAAATCCGAGTCCATACGGAGATCGTGGCATAAAGTATCGGGAATACAGGGCATTGAGAGACTTTTAGGCCCTCTAGTGTACAGATCAGGGTAGCAAATCCGCTATAAGGCCCTATATTTCCAGGCCCTTCCCCTAAAATTAGCCTATGCACCTTCGACAAGGGCTGCTACACCTTTTTACGACTTCTCCCTTGTACTTTTAAGGAAGTCATCGCTAACGAGGCCTATAATAGCTGCTCCTTTAACGTCCAAGCGCTATAGTTGCTCTACTAACTACGAACGCTAGAAGATCTACTTATCCCCTGCAAATGTCTAATAGCGCCTCTTTACGTCGATTTAGGGAGCACTGCCTGGAGTTATAGGGGCTTATAGCGAACTCTTGCCCTAAATTCATTCCATGTAGAACACCAAGGGTCAAAATGCCCTGTATTCCTGATACTTTATGCCGCAATCTCGGTACCCGAAATCTAGCCTATAGGATCAGCAGATCTTGGAACCAGTGCGGTTTGACATGGAATGAAAGAGTTATGTCCGTGCCAGCTTTGATTCCTCATTCTACTAGGCGAGGCCCGGTAGTTGATTGGGTTTTGGTACAGTTACAGTACATTCCAACTCACCTGTACTGTGTGCAAGAAGCGGGATTCAACATGAATCGAGGAACTGGCCTCTGCGCATGATACCCGAAAAATTATCTTTTTATACCGGCTCAAGCCTGCTGTTGTGTTGATTAGGTAAGGTTGAGGAGTTGGGTGCAATCTTGGGGCAAGGACAAGCTGGTATCCGCTTTCGGATTCTTGGTTGTCCAAGTGGGAAAGGAACATCGCTCTGGCGAGGACGAATCTCGATTTCAACTTCACCACGCGTTCCTCGACCAAAACGTGGAAACAATTGCAATGCATCTAAAACAATTCAGTCTTTTTGTCCTCTACGAAATAGCAAATTATGTACTGTATAATTTCAGTTCCCTTCATGCTTCGGACAAGGGAACAACGCGCTCCAGAAACTCAAGCTGAGCTTTTAAACCCTCTTCAAATGAAATTCCTCCTTTATACACATCGAAGTGTCCTCCCTTGACCTTCACAATCTCGCCAAGTGGCGCTTTTCTTGCAGCTTGCTCAGCGCCCTTGAGGCTTGCTACGGAATCATACTCAGTGCAGACAGCAAGGTACGGCTTGATGCTTCGCTCAGTCCGCTGACCTGGCCGATGAATAAGAATGGAGAAGAGAGAGCGCGCGGCGATTTGATTGAGGAATGAGCTATCATCTTCGGGCGTGAGGCGAGCCCAGCCACCCGGGACATCTGGAGCCGAGAGCATAGCCAGCTTGTTCTTTCCTGTGTTCGCTGTGGTGACATATATTGGACCCAATCCCACCCACGAACCGATGGTATCTAGCAGGGCCAGAAAAGTCAGCGACAGTGACCGCCAGAGAGGGACCTGCAGTGCTGCCAGAAGACCGTCGACCGCTGGACACTGCACAATGGCTGCTGCAAGGGCATGGTCTTCTGCGATCAATGCCGTTGGATACATTGCTTCCAAACTGCTTCCCCATGCAACGATCTTCTCGTTGTCGAAAGATGGGTTGCCTCTGACCTATTCCCAAGAAATCGGACTCAGCATAATTCTTTGAGTAGTTTCGTGAGTAGAATGTTCCAAGATCTACTGGACTTTGCGAGCAGATGTTCCAAGAGATGTTGGACATTGCTACAAATGGCTCAATACTCTGAGAAGATGGGACTTACCCAAGAAATGACATCGCGGAAGTCTTGTAGCTCTTGTGACAGACTGAGGACATTTCGGGGGGTGCCTTCGCTACCACCAAAGGAGAGATAGCCGAGTGAGAGCGGCATAGCCTTCAGCTTGGAAAGCTTCAGCAGAAGGTGGAAGTCCTCCCGACTGGACGAGGCCAATTCCTCCACCCATGACAAGCACCGCGTGGGGAATGGGAGTGGAGGGTTGGTAGAGCCATGCGTTGATCTTCTTTCCTGTCACTGATGGTATGCTAACTACAGAGTGTAACATGATCGATGGATATGAGCCAAGTAATCTCGAGGAAACCTTGGGACACTGAACTATGTGCAAGTTGAGGTATATCTCTCGTCTCGTTCTAAGTGGAAAGCGTTGAACTGGCGATGATACATAGCTTTTGCTCGGAAGATGGCTCCTTATAAGTCGGGTTCCTCTCCTCCTGTCAGATTTCGAAGAACCTCTGGACCCACTTTCTTTCCCTAAATACAACTGTACATCTTCGCCCCTCTCAGCAAGTTATGTGGATATGCTAGCGTGCTGCATGCGGTGGACAGCAATCCAAATATGGTTAAACCCCGCACACCCCCCCTTGTATCTTTCGCTTGCTCGAATTTACGGGGTACGACGGAAGGGATGTGGCTGGTTGGCTCCCCCATCCTGACCCCACTGCACTGCACCGCCACCTTGGTCGCACCGCTCAGAGGCTGACTGGTGCGGGGAACGGCTCAGACATCCTCGGACGTCCTCCTTGAGATCAGCTCAAGGTTGCTGATATTGAGGAAGAGCTTCGTAATTCCGCTCTTGGTATCACTTTCTCGAAAGAACAACAGATTTTCAACCATATCAAACGCTGCTGACTTCATTTTCATTCCTCCGGTCCCGTTCTAATCATGCAGAGCCAACGCCCGCGAAAACAACGAAATCGGATCTCCTTCAGCTGCACCAATTGCCGACAGGGGAAGTACAGAGTCTGCCCTCCCTGTTTATCATATGTTCAGTTTGCTGGCAGGAAACTATGCCTGACTGTAGCTAGTGTGACCGTCGAACGCCGTGTTCGACCTGTGTGCGTCGCGATACAGAAGAGGCGTGCCAGTACGAAGAGGCTGCGGTGGCGTATGGGCTCCCAAAACTGCAATATCTTGACCTCTTGATAGAAACTGATCTCGTTTGCGCTATTCTAGGTCGTCTCGCCGTTCCTGTCCAACCGGCAGCCAGGGGGCTGCAGCTTCAAAGAAAAGCCCCCCAGCTGACATGCGCCGGCAGGGGGTTCCCAGCACCACCAAGACCCCCGACCTCAACATCTTCGGATATTCGAAGATGGGTGCCAACCACACTTTGGCCATCTTGAACGAACTCTCTCGCGTAGACTCAGCCTCAACTTCTCTCCAGAATGACCGTACCGGCAACTCGATGCCTAGGTCGCCGTCTCACTACGACAATTATCTCCGCCTTCTCAGGGGACTTCCTCCTAGACTTTACGTCTGCATACTAGTAGACATGTTCTTCGAACAAGTCAACTGGCAGTATAGCGTCGTTGACCGGAATTACTTCATGCCGCAACTCGCCGACTTCTACCAAGCCATACCTAGTATCTTCTCAGAAGACCCGCCAGATATTTCATCCGATGTCTTCACCTTCCCCTCTCTCCTCTTCCAAGTCGTGGGCTCTGCTTTTCAATTTCTACCGCCAGATTATGACCGATCCTTGGACGACCTTTGTATGGGCAGATCATTCGATGATTTGGCCAAAAGTTACAGCGACTCTGGGATCGAAATGCTCGCCCTGTTTGAGAAAGAGAGTTTGAACCTCATTTCAGTTCAAGCTGGATTCCTTAGAGTCGCACTACTGAAGAGTTTTGGCTACGTCGTTGAAGCATATCGAATGATAGGGCAAGTCGTCGCCGATGCCGAAGAGGCTGGACTGCATTTGGAGAGTGATGGCATGCACGAGGGAAGCGTGGAGGACACGCCCCCGTGGCTTTGGTACCATGAGATGCGCCGACGAGTAATGGTCAATCTTTGGCTCTGGGATAGATATGCCAAATCACATTCTCTACATTGATCACATGTAAGCTGACTATCTCGTAGTCAAATGAGCATCGTCCTAGGCAAGCCGTCTAAAGCCAACGCCGGAAACTGGTCGATCACCCTCCCCCTCGATGCCCCCATTCCCTCCGACAAGTCTCAGAGCGTTCCAGTGGAAAGACCGCCCAGTGAGAAGCCCACATCATTCACGCACCGCCTCCTAGAATACCGCCTGTTCTCCCAACTCCCCGGTCTTTCAAAACTGATCCACGGAGCATTCAGCCCTGGAAATTACCTCCAAATCCAGCAATACCAGCAGAAGATGCGTGAACTAGCCGAGGCCTTACCGCCAGCTTTTCGTTTCGAAAATCCGGACACGCAATGGGACGCCGAGTGTCCCTGGATCAAGACGCAACGCGAATACAGCTGCGGCACAACATGGCTCTCGTTCCTCGTCATGCATCGCTACTCGATGTTCCACATCCCTCAGAGCCGGACGGGAGTCATCATATGCGGGATCAAGGTTCTGCAAGCTCAAGAGCGGCACTTCCGCACGCTGAGCGTGCAGCATTATAAACTGTACGCTCTGGCCTTCTTCACGCTCGAGGCGGCCACAGCTATCATGGTTGTATTCATCGCCTATCCCACTGAGAATCGCGACCTTTTCGCAACTGCGATGTTACATGTCAAGGAGAGCATTGCGCGGATGAACGCGATCAACGCCTCGAACCCATTTGCGCATCCTGCAAAAGAGCTCGTCGAAATTCTCATGCGTCGAGCAGAGAACCTTTACAAAGAAGTCAAACCGTCGTCGTCGCCGCCATCCTCTCCCCCTCAAAATTTACTTCCCCAAGACTCAACGCCCCCGCAATACTCCACCGTCGATACGGAAACCAAGCCCTCCGCCTGGCAGAATGACGGTTTCGGTTTCTCGGACTACACTCCACCCCAAGGCCAGCCGCTCGATTTCACGCACAGCGGCACCCCATCCACGCCCCCGAACTTCGACCTCACGTGCGGTGGTTGCATCGGCCAGTATGGCCCTGTCGCTACCGTGGTGGATAACGTTTATTACACGGTGCCGGACACATGGGATCCGATGATCTTCCTGGAGAGGCCGGATAGTGGGATGGTGAATTTTACCAACAATGGTGTAGAAGGAGGGTATGGGCAGGATAGTTTTTAGTGAGTGATGGAGATACCCGCCTGGAGTATATACGGAATTATTGGAGGGCTTTTATTGTGTTCTTGGGCTGGGCTGGGCAGGGCATTGCTCAATCTAAGGTTGGGTACTTTTGATTGTCAATTGGGTAGTTAGGAGCCTTGATTAATTATCGATGGCTGGGAAGCTCCCTAATATAAGTACAAAATCCACTAGTCCCAGCCCCCTAGCTGCCTTAGGCATGGCAAGCTTGGCGCCTTCAATATTGATTTGGCTGGGGGAATTGGAGGCGTCTGATGATGCGGCGTAATCGCGGGAAGGAGGGTAGGTATCACAGGCATGGAAACAGTAAAATGCACTGTTTTCTGTGTTTTGGGCTGTAACCATGTCATGTTCTGGCACAGGGTCTTTCCAGTTTTGAACAAAAAGAGTTTCTTGGGTCCAAAAAAACAAGCGAGCAGGGCTTCTGCCATCCCCCCTTTTCCCCTTACCTCGCTTCCTCGGCTATTTATCTCCGCCAACGAAACAAAATAATGCTCGACCTCTGCACTTACCAGCACCTAAGCTACTCTTACAAACATCCTAACTGATCCTCTCCGCAATCCCGGACATGAAATCCCTCGCCAACGTCGCAATGACCCTCAGCTCCGCCGGCGTGCTCCCTGCAGAGCTAGAATTCACCTCCACACCAACACCCGGCGCCTTCAGCCCCTGTGTCGGCCCATCGAACCTCCTCCAGACCTCAATGAACTTCTGCTGTCCCTCATCCAGCCCAATAGCCTTCAGCACCGAGCTCATATTATCATGATCCTTCACTCTCAGCAGCGCAGCCGCCTTGACCGCCGTGCTGCTCACAACACCCAGACGCTCCTCAAGCTCAGTGTGGATCGCGCCCAACCGCACGCAATGCAGAATCAGCGCCGCCAACCCCGCCGCCAGCGCCGTGGCGATCGAGCTTCCGGTCCGCTCCTCGAAATCATCGGGTAGCGCGCCCTCCCGGTATGGGTTTCTGGAGACGACTTTGTGCCCGGGGAGGATGAAGGACACGTTTCCTGGGGAGCCGGTCGGGCCCCAGACACGCCCGTCTGCTGTCGCGGCCCCGATACGGAAGATGCGGCGCTGGTCGTACGACCACGGGTATTCGACTTCGGTGACGGCGCCGGTGTCTGCAGCAGCGCAGAAGAGGAGGATGCGTGCGTCGAGAGCGAGCTTGATGGCTTCGCGGAGGTGGGTGATGGACTCGTGGTTCTCCTCGGTTTCTTTGACTGTCCAGGACATGGAGATTATGTCGACCTTTTGGTTGACGGCTGCTGTGACGGCCTGGATATGCTGTTAGTTGACTGTGTTTGGGGGGACGGGGGAGGAAGGTGTGTTATGATACGTACCAAGGCAGCGCTTTCCGCTGAGATCTGGTCATAAGCTTGTGTCTGGGTCGCAGGGTTGATGCTGGAATGAGTCTCAAGTTTATATACGTATAGCTTAGCCATCGGACAGACCCTACATATCATATCTGCCATAACGGTGCCATGGCCTTTGGTGGAAGTGTAATATGGACTCGGGCCATTCTCATGGGGATAACCACGGTCAAAGGATTCCCCGCCTCTGATCTTCCCACGCAGCGACTCGACGTATGGGTCTGCTCCGTCATCGATCAACGCAACCTTGATGTCGTTCTTCAAGATCGCGTTGTCGATATTTTGAGGGATCTTGACGTTCTGGATCTCGTCTGCAAACTTGTCCATGCAGTCTAGCCATCGGTTGGACTGTAGGTTTCGCTCGTTGGTGTTGCTCGGTGCCTTTGTGGGACCTGATTGGACAAGATGCTCGCTGCCTGGGGCATTCTCCTCCCCTCTGTAGACCAGAATCTTCCTCTTGGTTGCTTCGTCGGCCTTGGGCGCCGGCGCATCTAGGTTTCTTAGAGTTGTGTTGATGACTTGTAAGGTCTCATCTAACTGTTCTTTTTTAGCCTCTTTGTTCCTTCGGGCTACATCGATGGTTTCTAAGATCTGATCAAAGCGCTCTTGTTTCCTTCGGGCCGTGTCGATGGCCTCCAAGGTTTCATCGAGTCGTTCTTGAAAGTCTTCAATGTACATCTCAACGCGATCCGCTGACTCCAGGGTCTATCCCTCTTGTTAGCACAATGAGTGACGTGGACCTTGATACATATTTACCTGTTCGGGATTCCACACTAAGTGAACTTTCTCCAACTTTGGCAGTCTTGGAAGCCCCTCAGGCTCACCCCAAGCCCTCAACACAGCCCTGTTGCCGCTCCACCTCAAATAAAGCTCCCTGACATTCTGACATGCATGGTTCAGCGTCTCGGGACACAAGTCAACCCTGCGCCAATCCAGGGTCTCGATCTCAAACCGTTTCAGGCATTCCACCATCGCTTGGTCGCTATGTGGAGGGTCTTCAAGATCGTCTACAGTCACTTTGAGAATATGGCGTACCTTCTTCTTGTACAGCCATTCGAAGAAGAACGTCAAATCGTCACGGCCCCGTCCGGGTTTCGGCTTCTGCGGGAGCTTGTTCAACAGCCTGGACTCCGTGGCTGGCTGTAGTGGTTTCTGCAACTCAATTCGGCGGAATGTTACGTACCGCAGTACATTATCGAAGCTCATATGGTCGTAGCTTTGCCGGAAGGATTCTCGTAGGATTCGCTTGGGGGCTTCAGAATAGTCGAAGCATAAATTGATATCTAGGCAGACTGTCAGTGCCTGCTTGCTTGCCACACATAATTTTCGTGGTGAGAAAAAGTTACTTACTATCGATATTTGACCCATGGAGGAACCTGGTAGCATTGAGCTGGTCTCTCGGGGTGAGCTGGCCACTCCTCCCGAATGTCGATCGCAGGTAATACAGCTTGAATTCTTGCCGGATCTTGTCGGCAAACTCAGCCCTCCGCTTCTCTTCTTCTTGGAGTTTTCGAGCGCTCTCTTCGTCTGTGCGGTTGATTCTTGGTACATGTCCTGTGGCCCTTCTCTCCGGCTTTCGAGGCTCAAATCCCGCCGAATCGGTAGCAAGCCGAGATCCTTTGATGGGAGACATTCCGTCTTCGGATGCTGTGGCAAGAGAAGGATGGTTGGACATAGTATTCAGAGCCAGGGATGTAACGGTTGAGCCGCGTCTGCCATTGAAGGCTGGAGGGGCTGCCGGTCCTTTCCCCATTGGTTCTTTCATTGGTCCTCTGTCGAACTTGATTGCCTTCTGGAACGGCCCTTTGCCATCAGCATCGCTATAGTCCGATGCTCCTTCACGTTCGCTTTTCGCCGGGTTGTTCTTTTGACCTTGCACCACCACCTTGGGAGGCTCTTCATGAGATCGCCCAGCTTCTCGGGAGCCAACTGGTTCGGAGAGCTTGGCCGCTAGGCTGCGCGTATATTGATGATACTCATACACAGACAAGTCCTTTGGATTAATAGTGAACTTATCCAATGCTCCGTCTCCATATGTAATGAGCGCTTGTACGATAGCCAATTGCGGTTCTGAGCTCCGCTGATACTCGACTGCGAGATGAAGAGGCGTGAGTCCATCCTGATCCACCGCGCTGAGCGTAGCCTCTGATGCCCCTTTGATCAGGTTCACGGTAGATTCCTTCTTAAGGCCGTGATAGATCGCGATGTGAATGCAATTCCTCGCATGCTCACATCTCATACGAAGAATCGTATCAAGGTTCGTGATCTCCTTCAACACCACTTCTAGAAAATCGTAGTTCTTCTTCACAATGGCAATATGTAAAGCCGTCTTGCCGCTGTCATCCTTGTGCTCCAGAAGTTTCTTGTCCTTTCTCACGATGCATCGCGTCAGAGACTTGTGCCCTAAAGTATCAGCAATGATGTGCAGCAGCGTCTGATTATACGTCTGCGTCTTCTCGACCAGTATGTTCCCGTACTGGTCAAGGAACTCTTGGCGATTTTCCTTCTGTCCCAGATTGAGCTCCCGATTTCGTGCTTTCGCCATGATTTCATCGAAGGCGGCTTGGGCGTCATCCTTTGGGAGGACGGGTGCGGGCGCCGCGACGGCATCGTCGTCCTTATAGTCGTTGTCGCTGTTTTCGCCATCGTCGCCTTCGCTTTGGAGCGATTCTTGAGTCCTTGGCATTACTTTCTGCTGCGTCATTTTCTGAGGATCTCAACCAGAGTCAGTAGGGCGTTGAACGAGTTGGAGGGTTTCGTATTTTGTATCGGCCTCAGGCTGGCAACCGCTGTTGGTCAGCCGCCCCTGCCGTGCAAACCTTGCATGTTTCCAGCCCAGTGGCTGCAGAGTCCCCTGCACACAGGGAGTCTATTTCCCTGGAAAAGAGTGTAACTCCGCGTGCGCCCCGCTAAAACGAAGCCCCGAGCTCATATCACTGCGACAGCGGATTTTCGAAATGAAGCTCTGATTCCATATCCTCCGGACAGTGAAGTTTGAGACGGAAGACTTAATATGGACGACGTTCTACTTAATCCAGGCGACGAATTAGAGCTGGACGGCGACCTTCCAGCCTTCAACATCCAACTTGCTCCTTCCGGCGACCAGGGCAGCGGATACCATACCCAGAATGACCCCAAGAACCCCTACCAGCGTGAGCGCGTGGTTGAGCGTCAAGGCGCTGTCGACATCCGCTGCTCTTTCGTCGACATTATCCATGGCCTCCTTTCACCAGAGAGCGAAACCTTCTGCACACTCCTGGTGCTCCAATTCCGGTTCGATCCTCGCAAGCGGGCCAGGCGTATCGCACATGTAGATATCGAGCTCAGATTTGCGGGCAGCGCTCCCGGCGTCGCTGACCCTGATGTGTATGCCATCGCACCCGATGGGCAACTCAGTTTTGCGCAAACGACACAGACAGAAATCGCCTCTCTTGAGAGCAAGATACACGCTGGTGGAGGCATGCCAGGAGCGCATACAGGAGTAGCAGTGAAGGTCGGACGGGAGGTGATCAGGGAGATGCAATATGCGACGACTGTGACGGGCTCGTCCAATGTCCGAGGGCGTAATTATGGCCAGCCTAACTCGGTCTTGTGGACGCTGATGGAGAATCCGGAGACGAAGACGGGAGTACCGATTGCGATGAAGACAGCTATTCTGCTGAAGAGGAGGGACGAGGGGCCGTTCCAATGTGTGGTTTCGCTGAAGGCGAAGGCGGATTGGAGAACGTCAATGGAATGGCTTGTTGGAACCACAAAGCCGGATGATCCTGTCTTATTCGATCCAACTTTGGATTCCACGAGTTGTAGGTATAGTGAGATGGAATTGAAGCTTGGAGAGCTGGAGTTGGAGCCCATTTCAGATATCACTGTCATGAATCTTGTCGATGGAGTAGTGAAAACGAGGAAGATTGGCGGGGGTGGGCAGAAAGTGGATATCGGTATCGAATAGCAAAGCACAACAACTGTCTATCATTCATGCTCATTTTATGCTCATTTTTCTCCAAGCCCAATGCCCTCTTCTCCAGTGTTAGGAAAGGTTCGAAAGAACGGTTCCAACCAACGAGGTGTTGGACTGGCCGAGTTTGTTCAAGTGACTCAGAGCCGATGCCACTACTTATGCTATGACTGGGATGCGAACCGCGGGAGTGCGCCCCGCGCCGCTGCCCAGTGAGTCTCGCCGCCTGAAAAGGAAGCTTGGGGGCGGAGCGTTCAAAATACAAGGGTCCCTGGTGGAATGTCTCCCCCGGCACCTGCACGATTAACGCGCCGTCAGCCGCAGCTGTCAACATGGGCTCTTCAGAATGCGTCTCATCATCTCAGACTCAGACTTCACTCGCCCTGCCATATACTATATCACGCTTGCCATAACCTTGCCATGACGATTGCCAGTCCCTATTTCTGTTGATTGTTGGAACCGACGATACGAACCCACTGCGAGGTCGAGATGATTCCTCCGGGGCAAGAAGCACCAGCTGCGCCTGAGGCTGTGGAAAAGCCTGTCGGAACCGAGACGACAACCGAGAGCGAGAAGCCCCTGCCATGGCCAAAGGTTGAGGTTGAGACAACAGACTCATACTCAGACGCCGAACATAAATTCGAGTAAGGTTTCCTTTCCCCACCCATCTCCCCTGTGTCACATGACCGACAGATCCATAGCATTGTAGCAGTCCACGGACTCTACGGCAACAACGAGTCCTGGGCCAGCAAGAAGGATGGCTCCGACTCCTGGCTGAAGGATCTGGCTGTTGCGAAAGATTGGGAGGCTAGAGTTGTCCGGTATGGCTGGGACACAGACGATCTGGCGAAGTCGCTGTACACGAGGATGGCTATTAAGGGAGAGGCACTCAGACTGCTGGAGAAAATAGCGGAACTGAGGAAAGGACAAGAGAGGGTCAGTGGAAATTGCTAAAACCACTCATTCCTGATGCTGCAGAGGCTCCCTTTCGTATGGGAGCATGGAAACTGATCGATTTGCTGTGAACAGCCCTTGCCCTTGGCCTTCTTTGGGCACGACGTAGGAGGGATCATTGTCAAGGAGGTGAGTGTTCCATAATGCTAAGATTTCCTGATTTTGTTTCGCTAATATTGAGATAAAATCTAGGCACTGTTCCTAGCCGGCCATCATGGGAACAAGTACGCAGATATCAGGTGCTCGACGCGTGTCATCGTAATGAACCCGATACCCTATGCCCCAGATCGACTTTCTAATTGCCGCAGATGTTCTATGGCTGTCCTCACCTCAGCAATAGTTTTCAGCATATGGAGACCAACATTGCCAGATTTCTGGTTGGTGGGGCTGAAGGAATGGGTACTGTTCAAGATGCGAAGTCTCTCACGAAGTCCATCATTGCTGTGAACGACTCCTTCCTGCAGACTAGAATGCCCACTCGGGCGACAATTTTCAATGGAATCTCAAAGAGTCAAACCATAAATGCGCAGGTGAGAGCACGACGTTTGAATTGACGCCAACGAATACTGATGTGTCCAGGTATTTGATGGGTCCACGACATTATTCCGCACTCCTTTTGAAGTGATCATTGAAATCAAGAGACCGCATAAGGATTTGAATCACGAACCCGAGGAGAAGGATGATTTCCATGGGCTTCATACGCTAGGAATGAAGAGGGCTGCATCTTGTATGTGAACCTTTCAGAACATATCGACTTTGGTACCACTCGTCGAGCTACTGACTGAAGATACAACGCAGTTCCCTGGCGCAATGACAGGATGTCCCCATTCATTGCCGTTATTGACTCCCAGGCGGTTCCAGTCTATCCTCTAAAAACGCTTTGCGATGTTCCACATACGTTCAGCTGGCTAGGAGAGAATCCAGTCTTCAAGGAATGGCGCAACAATCGGCACAACTACTTTCTACACCTCTATGGCTCGCCGAGAATTGCTCAGGTGGCTGAGTACGCTTTGCAAGTCGTTGAAGATGGTCGAAGCGGCCTCTTCGAAATTCTTTACTTCAAATTCAACAAATATGACATACGCCGCAATTCTATCGGAGCCATGGCAAACAGCTTCATATCTCAAATCCTCAGTCAATGCCGAGACTCTCCATCAAGTCTGGTAGAAGACCTGGAACCGCCAGACTTCAGCGACTGCTGGACGGACAAAGACGCACTCATCTTCCTGGATAAGATTAGGGTCTGCATGGGGAACGCGGGGCGAGTGACGTGGATCCTCGACGGCCTGGATCAGTGTGATGAGTCGGGCCGCGGGTTCCTGTCCCAGCTTATAAGTTTTCCTACACGCTCTGAACAGTACTTCAAGGTAGTTATTACCACTACTGATGATGATTATATTCGCGATACCCTAATAGAGTTTCCTTCAATCAATGTCGGAGAACACGAGCCTAAAACACAGCTGGACGAGAAGACTAACTTTCTACGCTTGACTGAACTGTTCCAAGATCGCCCCCAACTCTGTTCCTTCGAGTCAGGCATTCGAAATCTCATCATTTCCTGTGGCGATGACGTTCAGCTGCGTCGTCTAATCATCGAATGGCTCCGGGGCACTCGATTCACGACACAACGGGCGATGGAGCAAAAGGTTCGAATGCTTTCTCCACTTGAACCGAGGGACATCTTTGAGATGATCTTGAATGGGATGACAGAGGATCGACGACGTTGGGCTCAAAAGGTTATAATGTGGATGCTGTGCCCTTTTCGACCACTGACCCCTGGAGAGCTTGAGATGGCTCTCGCGATGGACGAGGCATTAGACGAACCTACACTGGAATTTCATCTCGACTTTATGGAAGAGATCAACGAGTGTTTTGGGCCCTTGGTTGTCGTGAACAATGGTGAAGTCCATTTCAGTCATCCATCCGCCAGGGAAATTTTCTCATACGAAAACACCTCACTCGAGGATCCTCGTCCGTGGTACCTCTTGGATGTCCCTGAGGAAAGCCACAGAAATATTGTCGATGTCTGCCTTCGCTATCTTGCATTGCCTAGCGTTCAAGACCGCATAGCGGCTGCTTGTAATGCCTCGCCGAACACCGAACCAATCTGTGAAGGCCATTCAGATCTCCTTTCTTACGCCATTCTATTTTGGCCACAGCACTATCGCTTGGGCTATGAGGTAGCCCCCGATATTTCTACAACAAAGGCTATCTCCAGCTTCCTTCATGACAACAAGGCGCTTCAGCGTTGGGCAGCGGCGAGTTGGTACTTCTCCAATTCATCCATCAGATCAGACCGATCATTCTTGTCACCCTTACCAATCATCGCGTCACTCGGGCTAGAGAAACTGGCCCTTGCTCTCATCAAGGGTCAGGAACCATGTGAAGATAAAATTGTCGTCATGGCACTTTCTGAGGCTGCCCGCCATGGCCATAGGGCTGTTGTCCAAGCCATCATGCAAACGTCGAGCATAGATCAACCAGGCTATATGGAAGCAATGATTGCGGCAGCACGCTCGGCGGAATTTGATATCCTACAAGACTTGTTGAACCATGCAACGGCAGAGTTCAAAGCACTCCAGCTCCCCGACATTCTCACTTCCCGGGTGGCATTCTTTGGTGTCGATGGCATGCTGGAGTCTCTCATAAAAGCCGGTGCTGAAGTCAACTCGCCAGGTCAGCCCGAATACTCACCACCCCTTCACTGCGCAGCTATGAGGAACAACATTTCGACCGTCGATATCCTTCTGAAACACGGTGCGAATGTTGCTGCTCCCAACACCAACTGGAAGAACAGCCCACCGATCGTAGTGGCTGCTAAATATGGCCATGCAGCCATAGTCAAAAAGCTGGTCGAAGCTGGCGCCTCTGTAGAAAGCAAAGACAGCGAGGAAAAGCCGGCACTTTGGTGGGCAGCATTGCTTGGTCAGCATGAGGTTGTCCGATCACTCATTGATGCTGGTGTGAACAAAGGCAGCGTCGAAGTGTCCGTGACCGAGGAGCTCGACTATCCAATCTTTGGTTCTACAGCTTCAGCTTCCTTCCCGAAATGCGCCCGGGCTCTTTTAAACTACGGTGTGAATCCCAACATCCCAAAATCGAAGTCAACATACCCTAAGTATGCTCTCGGCCAGGCCGCAAACGCGGGAGATACCGAAATGTGTCGTTTACTTATAGAGTTTGGAGCGGATGTGGATGGCGCGGGCAATGACAAGCCTATTGTTCATGCCGCCATGTCGGGCAAACGAGAGGTGTTGGACATTTTTCTTGAAAAGGGGGCAGACATCGACGTACTTGTTGAGGGCGATGACTTTGCTCAAACTCCTCTCATCGCGGCAGCAGACCTAAACCATAAGGACCTTGCCAGCGTTCTCCTCGAGAAAAATGCCGCCCTCGAGCTAGCACTCTCAAACGGAGTGACTGCGCTCTTCAGGGCCGCGGGGAGAGGGAATCTTGAGATCGCAAAGCTATTGATTGCCGCTGGCGCGAACCTTAAAACGGTAGCGTATGAAAAACAATGGGGGTTGCTCCATATTGCTCACGACCAGGTGGAGACAATGAAGGTTCTCCTCGATGCCGGAGCAGATATCGACGCGACTTGCCGCGATGGTAGTCGAGCACAACTTTTTTTTTCTTCGTCCCAAGGTCGGTTAGTAAGCTCGCCGCTTCTACTCAGGCGCTAATTACCCTCGGCTCACCCTCTCCTCACCCAGCTCACCTGAGTAGCCTGAGCAACCTGAGCAGTCCCTGAGCAGCCCCTGAGCAGTACCCACTTCTCACTTACGTATTTAATCTCTAATTAGACTAGATATAGACTAGAGCCTTTTATTTTCATTTTTGTCAAGTTTTGGCAATAATCCCTAGGGAGCCCAAATAGACTTCTAAGGATCTCGAACTAGACCCTTATAAAAATAGATCTATATTATATTATAGGTAATTACCCATAGTAATAGAATATAAAGGTTTTATTTAAGGAAAGAGATTTGCTACTATTTCCTATAAACCCTCTTCTTATCTCTATTTATAACCTGAATTCTTTCTTTCTAACTTAATTACTAGACTATTTCTAATCTTATTTTTTTAGATAATACTATATATTTTATATTACTTTATTTCTTTTTATTTCTTTATTTTACTTTTATTATTATATAACTCTTTATAATATTAAAGTATAAATTATTTAAAGATTTCTTTAAGAAAGCCTATAAAAATAGCTTTAAGAAAAATAAAGATACTCTTATTACTAGAGAAAAGATTAAAAAAATACTCTAATTATATACTTTAAAGAGATACTACTATATATTAGTAATATAAAACTAGTAAGTTCCTATAATTCAAAATAAGATATTTCTAATATTTAGTTCTTTATTTAATAGATATAAACTTAACTAGTTTAAGCTCAAATATCTTATTATTACTTTATATAATATAAAAATATTATAAGATTTTATTACAAATATAATATATAATATTAAAGGGGCTTTTAGTAATTCTATAGTATATATAAGTATAATTATTATATACTTAAAGGATTTTTCTAGTAGTTTAAGAAATAGTAATTTACTAGAACTTAATAAATAATTAATTATAAGTACTAGAAATATATATAATCTCTTTTCTTTGGAAGTACGGATTCTAATTACTAATATAGTTTAGTTTATATAAGGCCCTTTATTAGAAATACTTAAAATAGTATATTAAAAGCAGAAAAGGAAATATAATATAATAATTTATTTTAAATATCTTGGAACTTAACTCTAGTAATATAATTAGAATATATATTTGAAGCCAGAAATTAGAATATATTTTTAGAGCGAGATTTAGGCAAATATCTTCTTATTATTAAGAGTAGAAGAATATATAGAATTTACTTACTAATCTAGTTCTAGTTAAGGCCTCTACTATTAAATAAGTCTTTTAGTTTTTAGTACTCGAGTAATAGCTAGATATTATAACTAATAGTTTTTATTAGAATATTAAGTTTAAACTATTTCGAAATAAGAATAAAGATCTAGAGTTTACTATATAGTTTATATAAGATATAAAAGATATAACTAATACTTTATATAAAAGGTTTACTTTTCTAAAAGATATTAAAACTAATTAAGGGCTAATAATTTAATAGACTATAATACTTCTTATATAAGGAATTAGTATTTATACTATTATTTTGGAATTTAATTCTTATATATCTTACTATTTTCGTCTCAAAGAGCGCTTTTAGAATATATAAAATAATAGAGGTATTTCTTAATTTTAAGCTATTATTAGATAATAAGATATATTAACTAGAATAGAATTCAAATATTCTTAATATATCTTTCTTTTAAAAAAGTACTAGAGAGGTTAATATAGCCGGTATATATAATAGATATTTAAGGAATCTGGGCCTTTACTTCTTTTATATTATATTACCTATAATCTATAATTTCAGGATAAAAGGTTTCTAGCTTATTAGTATATTTATCTATACTAATTTGAAATATTTAGCTTCTAACTAATATATATAGACAAGTTATATTTATTAATTTAAAGAATAAAGTATAGGAATTATATAGACGAGAATATCTATTATAATTATTATACTTCAAATAATACTAGAGTTAATAGTTAAAGTGCCTACTTTAGTACTCTAATATATAGCCTTTCTAGTAACCTATTTCGGGGCTTAACTATATCCCGTAATCTGAAACTATAGTAGTTTTTCCTTACTAAAAAGTAAGATAAGCTCGAGAATAGCCCGGAATTTAAGGCTATTAAAAATAAGTTAGAAAACCTTTCTTTATTCTCTAAAGACGATTTAGTAATAAAAAATTAGTAAAAGGAATTATAGATATAAAAGAGAAAGCTTATTATAGAAAAGCTCTATAAATACCAGAAATACTAACTAAAAGAGCTTTCCTTTAAAAATAGCAAGTCTGATTTAACTAGATATTACCGGATTTTATTTTCCTGTATTTATACTCTAATATTAGAATATAACTATTTAATAAATAATATATTTATTATTACTTCTATTTATAGTAATATAAGATAAGTAGTTTTCTATAATCTAATGATTTTCTATTAATAAGATACTAAAATAGTATATTATTCTGGCTTAAAGCCTAAAAAAATGCTTTTATCTAATAACAAATTAGAAATATAAGATATATAAGTTAGTATTATAGCTTTCTTTATTATTCTTCTTATTATAAATCTAGCTAATATAAGCTCTATTAATAGTAAACCGGCTTTATAAAGATAGCAGTATATATATAGTTATTATAAGAAGTATTTTATAATAAGAAATAGTTTTACTAAACTATACTTCTTTTATAATAAATAAGTTATAGGAAACCAGGCCTAAAAAAACTATTATTAGGCCTACTTAAATAGTTATAAACCTTTTCTGGTATAGTATAACCCGTTTATTTATAGTAGGGCACTTGCCTTAGTTAATATATATTTCTTTTATTAAGGTAATATAGTACTACTAATAGTAGAATAAATATAACCATTTCCCGATCTTACTTTATAGAGAGAGTATTTATCTAACTATCTTATAATTCTCGAAAAATAAAGCCCAAATAACTTTAAATTACTCAGATATCCAGATATTTTCTTATTATAGTATAAAAACGCTTTTAAGTCTATCTAAAAAATTAAATTCTATTTTTAGAATATTTATTATAGTAAATTTATTAAGGTATTAAAAAGATCTAAGCTAGTAGATAATATAGGCGCTAGATCCTGTAATTATAAGATAGGTAAAACTACTTTTAAGTAAGACCCAGATATTAGTATTAAAGAATATATAATATATATTTATGAATTTATTAACTAAATAGTAGAATATAATAACTAGAAGAAATATAGAATATTAATACTTTTAACTTATTATTTAAAGTCTATATTAATAGTACCTTTAATTACTTTATTAACTTTTCTATTAGTAGATTCGGGGAGTTTAATACTATTAACTAAATAGGCCAGAGACGAGTTTAAGAGCGAGACCTATATACTAGTTTAGCTATTATACTCTAATATATTTGAAAATATTAACCCGAGCCTGTTTTCTTAATTAGCTATCTTACTTATTAGAAATAATATAATTGTCTTATTACTATATTAAAGCTTTACTACTAGCCCTAGTAAATTAAGCTTTTATAGGATATATACTATAATATTAGACTATAATATAATTGAGATAAAGGACCTTATAAATCTTTACTAGAAGAAACCTCAAGCCTTAGAGCCTAGAGATTTTCCTATAAATTTTACTATAGCTTCTAATATATATTAATAATACTAATATTTTTTAGAGAATTGAGTCTAACTAAAATATAGAAGCTTTTATTTCCTTAACTAATAATACTAATTAGTTTAATCTTTTAATTATTAGAGATACCCTTTTTATAGAGAGGCTAGTAGTAAACTTAACTAATATTCTAATCTATAAAGATATAGCTATTAAGTAAAATCGTAATTACCTTAATAAAGATTTTATTATTACTAGTAACTTATTAAATTCAAGTAACTTAAGATTACTTATTTAATTTATATACGGTTTGCTTATTATAGACTAGATCTAAAAAATACTTTTAATAGTAAGAAGCTACTTAATTCTCGGATTAGTAAGGCTAATAATAGACTTGGTAATAACTCTATATAAGGTATATTTACTTCTTATTAAGATTCAGAATATCCTTTATTTAGTAAATAAGATATTTAAATATCTAAGCTATCTGCTATAGTTCTTAAATATAATAAGTTTATAATTAAGCGAGTTATAGATAATCGAGTTATTTTAATTAGATAGAGCAAATATAAGAAAATAGTTACCTAATATTGGGTTAGATAGGCAGGATATTTAGAAGATTAAAATAGCTGGATTAATAAGGTTAATCTAAGTAATAATTATATTAAGCTCTATTTAGTAAAAAAAAGCTTACTTTAAAGTTATATTATATATAAGGTTATATAAAGGTACTATTTTGGTTTTATAGTATTTTATATATATATAGTTATATTCTTTGTCTTTCTTAGATAAGCTAATTAATTCTATACTAATATATTATTATTACTTGAAAATAATTATTCTAAATTCAAAACCATTTAACTTTCTATTACTTAAACTCGGATCTCTAGAACTTTACTTTCGAGGCTTGCCTTTAGTAAGTAGGGTAAAAGATATTTCCTAAGATATTACTTTATTAAGAATTAGTAAATAATAAAAAAAATTTAAATATTTAAAAATAAGTAAAGAAACTAATTTCTTTCTTACTTAACTTTATTTAATTTTCTAAAATTAATTATAGCTTGTTTAATAAAAACCATTCCTTCTATTTACTATCTATACTAACTATTTTAATAGTATTTATAGTAATTCCTTCTATAATAATTCCTTTACTCGAGGCAATTACCTTAATTTCTTTATATAAGAGTTTTAAAACTAAACTTATAGATATCTTATTAATATTTCTAATATTTAGAATATAATCTTAATTAGGCCTACTATTTTAGTCTAATTTAATATAGCAGTTATTATAGATAGTTAATAGCCTTATTAGTAGTATATTCTATTTTAGTAGCTTAGAAGCTAATTTAGAAAATAGAAGCTATTATAATAATACTAGAGAAAATATCTTAGTATATAAATAATTTTTGGGACTTTCTTAAACTCAGCTTACCCTATAGTCTATATTTAATTAATTAGTTAGCTTTATTAGAATTAATTAATATAATATCTATTTCTATATATTAAAAAAACCGGTATATTAAAAAATAAATAAATACTTTAACTTAAAGTATCTTAAAATCTATATATATCTTAATATTTCTTATAATTTTTTATAAGTTATATTTTATAGCTATTTCTAGATATCCTAAACTCTCTTTACTAGAAAATTATATTTAT